TTTATACCTGCAGTACTGAATCTTCAATGGAAGCATAATACTGATTGTCTGAGGTGAAGTTGATACAATTCATATCTTAATTAACCCTTGAGGCAATCAAGAAAATCGTTTATCTTTTGAAGGTTGTAAAACCTACAGATATATCCATTCTTAGTTGTTTTCCCGGATTAACTTTTTTATGCCAGTTTATTTGGCATCTATGGAGAAATTGTCCTTCTGGGGACAGCACAGGAGTTTGGCTATTGATCCGTAAATACCAAACCTTGCACATTTAGGATTGTATTGTAATGTATGTTTTACATAAGAAACTTGTCTGTCAGGTTTGCTTAGCCAGGCATGGATGTCTAATTCATGGGGAGCCAGCGAGACTGAATCCTAGGTTGTATTTCCATTTTGACCAGATCCCTAATGTGGCAATCTTGTTTTCAGTAGCTCAGGTTGCATTGGTTCCAGGCAGTCTAGAACAAGTTAAACTGGGCAGAGTGAAGAAATGAGGGGAACAAAAGGGAGATTAAGTATCAAAGGTTGGCTTCCAAGACTGTGTTAAATTAGTTTAACAACACAAAGTTCTGTAGTTTAGCATCGGCTCCCCAGACTTTGTTGTGGACTGCCGTGCAACAGACGGACTACACAGCACATGAGTACAGTGAGGAGAGTGATCAAAAGGAGGAAAAACAAACAGGGCAGTTTTCCTTTTTTTAAGTAACTCTTTCTGCATACTTTCCACAGCATCACAGACCTCCCTATTGCTGTTGGGTTTGTGAGGGTGCTGGGTATTTTTAAACAAGAGGTTTTGTCTGCTTTTAGAGGAGAAAGCTGACAAATCACTAACCCACGTCTGGGTTACAGAGGACACTGTGCTGTCTCCAAGTCTGAGAATCCTTGCTGCTAGGGTTGGCACTCTCATGGGATGATTCCCAATAAAAAACTGAGCAAGCTTTAAAAACTAAATTTAAGTAATCATCAACCTAGTAAGTAATGAATGCTGAATTAATTGCTTGTTAGATCAGTAGCAGTTAATTAAAATACCAGTGAAAGCTCAGAAAAACTGATAGCTACCCACTGAAATCACAAGTGTGCCTTGAAATACACAATGTTGTGTATTTTTGTGGAACGCACATAGAAAGGAAATGGTTCATATGACTGATTAGCTGGCACAAGTGCTATGCACAAATGTCTCTGCTAATATTATAATCCATGTGAAATAGTGACTAACCTTCTTAAAGAGTATAATAATGGGACTATTCTGAAAAATTTCAGTAGCCACAAGACCTACACAGATTCATGAGTTGAGAGTGTTGAACAAATAGGTATGAGTCAGCTCTAATTAACATATACCCAAATATGTTTGAATGGATTTGACTGCAACAGTCTTTTGTTCCCTCCTATATTTGCACAGCAGTTTGAGGTCTGCACTCCTGAGTAAGGCCAGTAGCAACTGATCTGCAGTGAAGCGAGCAGTGTACAGTGTGCAGTCCCAAATGGTACACACATGTTCAGAGCACAGGAGGATTATTAATACTATTGAAATACCAATCAAAGTGCTTCAGCAGGCACCAGGCAGCTGCAAAACATTTAGGCATTTAGGGACAGCTCAGGAATTCCCATGAGCAGAAGTGAGACAGGAAATAGTGAGAAGTTGAATAAAGTAGCTGAGGAAAATGCCTTTATTTAAAAGGGAGATGAATTCAAAAGAAGTTCAGCATATCCAAGCGCAGAAGTCAGAGAAAATAGATTAGGAATAATCTGAAAAGGGGAAGAAATCCTATATACTTTTCAGTAGAACTGAAATTTTATACTTTCTTAAACATCATCTGGAACTTTGTCTTCAAAGAGTAGCTAGCCAGTTGTGATGGTAAACGAATTCAAAGGTGATCATTCCTGTCTGCCTATATAGTTATATATGGAGAAATGCCATTTAGCCATCACATTAAACTTAGGGAACTTCACCCTACAAGTCTGTTTATAGTGATGAGCCAAATTTTGTCTCAGTGTGGCACAAACTGTTCATTTGCAGAAGAAATTTGGCTATGTTATAACAAACACTAGAGTTGAATGGCTACTTTGATAGTCTCATACTCTGAGATGGGGGTGAGTTTGGGACCAGAAAATGCTGTAAGGAGTGGTCCTTTAAATGTGTTGGTGGAGCCATAGGGAGCAGGAGGTCAGAGTAATAACGCTGAAAGTGCTAACAGGAGTCAGTACTCTGCCATGGCAGAGCATTGAGGAGCCAAGGCAAAGGCTGTGATTCCCTGGGAGTGCAAGGTGCTGGGGGTCACCCTCAACGAGCATCCAGCAACTACCCTGAGTATGAGCTCCCAGAGTGCTGATCTGACATCCTCGTGGCAAGTGTGAGTGGGTCTCTTCCCAAGAAACAGCGATGCTTTGGGGTTTTTTTAGCTTCTACCCAGAGAAACAGGCAGGCTGTGTTGGATGGTGCCTTTTAAACAGGAGGGCTGGAAGCTGAAACCAGAACATTCCGTGGCAACTGGAGAAAGTTCTGAGGAGAGTGCAGTGAGAGCGGCAGGACCCCCCCCTCCCCCTGCCTGGAGGAGAGACAAAGAACAGGCGAGGAGGGAACTGAAATAGGAAGCAGGAACCATGTTAGGAGGCTGGGGGCTAAAAGAAAGCAAATTAATAAACCACTGGGGGAAAGGAGCACAACTGCCCAAAGCCACTAGGAAAGATAAGCAAATTCCAGATTCTTTAAGTGCTCCGTGTGTGTGTGTGTGTGTGTGTGTGTGTGTGTGTGTGTGTGCAGCCTGGCTGGTGTGTTAAACATAATCATCTTCCTCACTGCAGCGAGAACTACTCATGTGTCTGCACACAGACTTACAGAATATGAGCACTGTTATCTATTTAATGTGGTGTATTTAAGCTGGGTTTGTCAGCATTGCTACCGCTCAGCCCAAAATTTCTAAAAATACACATTCATATCAGGGTGTGTGCACACATAGTACAGTAATAAAAAGCTTCTGGTAATATTCTGCCTACAGTGGGGACAAACAGTTGCTATCAAAAGCAGGGGAAATCTGGAGCACAGGCTGAGGGCACTGTGTGGCCTTAAGTGTTAATGTAATATTTTGGAAGTTGGAAGCTTGGTGCGCTCATTTGCACATCAGTACCCAGAATGCTTTTTCAGTTCCACCACTATTTAATTCAAGTGCTGGGTTTGAGCTTTTGGAAGACTGTAGTTTGTGATGCCCTCACATGTGCCAAGTTCAGTATTTTCCACAGAATAGTTTAAGTGACGATATTAGACTGTGTGAATAGGTGGTCCAAGGATTCTTAATTAGGCTTGATGTTACAAATGCAAAAAAGTGCCCTCGAACGCTTCTTCCCCCCCCAAGCGTTGTCTTTAACAAAACAAAGAACTCTGTTTTGGGAACGTGTGTGTTTGTTGGATGGGGGAGATACTTCTTCAAAACTCGGGGAAAAATTCTTCAATGAGACAGAAAGCAGATTTCAGCTGTAAATGAGTAATGATGATGATGATGTTGGAAGAGCAGCTCTTTCATAGAGCCCTCGAGCCCACGGAGAAGATTCAGCACTAGGACAGTCCAGGCAACCCGGGGCGGTGAATTCGGCGGTGCACTCGGAGTGTTTAACCCGGGCCCGGGGAAGGGTAACTCGCGGGAGCGGGAGCCCCGCCGCGCTGGGCGTGGGGCGCCGTGGGAACCCCGGGAGCGCGGGGCCGTGCGGGGCAGCGGAGTGTCCCCAACATGGAGGCACTCGGGGCTGCCAAGTGCCCGTGCCTCCCGCAGCCCCCGGCCCGCGGGTACCGTCCCTCCCAACAGCTCCCGAGGGGAGGGCATTTTTGCACTGGAAGAATTCCCGCTGTACCCCTTCCCTCCCCCACAATGCCGGCGCCTCGCTCTTCCAGCGAGGCTGAGAGTTGATCGCGGTACGGGGGGTGGGGGTGAGAAATGCAATGAAAGACCGGGGGGAGGCCAGCCTGCTCAGCAGCCCCTGGCCCCTCTGGGATCGGCTCTCCTCGGGCGAGCCGAGGAGGTGGGGGCCGCTCTGCGCCTCTGCAGCTCCGGGAGGGTTTGCATTGGACGATTCGCGCCTGGGGAGGGGGGGAGGTTGCCTGCAGCCCCCCCGCCGGCCCCTCCTCCTCTCCCCGGCGGGAGGGGGGCCTGGGGGGCGAGCTGCAGCCCGGATATTTGGGGGAGGGGGCGAGCGCAGCCCCGCCACCCCCGTGTGCCGCGGGCGGGGGCCTCGCTGCCGGCTCGGCATTGGAGGATCGGTGCTGGGGAAGGGGGAGACTGCAGCCCCCAGCCCCCGCGGGCGGGCGGGGTGGGGGCCGGCCTGCTGGCTCTGGCTGCTCTTGCATTGGCGGATGCGGGGAGGGAGGGGGGCAGGAAGCGGGGGGGCAGGGGGGGTCTCTATGAATAGGGTGGGGGTCTTCTCGTCCAAAGAAGAGAGGAAAGTTTGCGGCGCCGGTGGTGAGGGTGCGGCGAAGCGGGCGGGGCCCGGACCGGAGCCGGCGGCGGCAGCGCTCGGTCGGGGAGCAGGAGCCGGGGGGCCCCCGCTGGATTTTTGTAGGGGGGGTGGTATCGCCCCCTCCTTCTCCTCCCCCCAGGGGTGAAAGTGCAAGAGGAAGTGCAGCCGCTGCCATCTTTCCTCCGCTCCAAACACACAGGGACGGACGGAGCCGGCAGCCCGGAGCCGCCGCCGGACCCCCCGTCCCTCCCGGCCGCCGCCGCCGCCGCCGCCGCGCGCGCCCCTTCCCGCGGCGGCCCCGCGGCCGCAGCGCCTCGTGGCGGCCGGGCCCGGGCGGGGCTCGCGCGGCCGCGCGCGCGCCTCGGCCGCCCGAGCCTTTTGTCTCGCCCCCCCCGCGCCGCGCGAGCCCCTCGCGCCGTGCAGGGAGCGCCGCGCGCGCGCCGCCGCCGGCCCGGGCAGGGGCGGGGAACGAGCAGGAGGAGGCGGCGCGCGCCGCCGCGCGGCCCGAGAGCGCGCGCGCCCCCTGCGGGCGCCGGCGGGGCGGCGCAGCCCCCATGGAGCGGGTGAGCGAGGCCGCCGCCTGCGGCCCCTCGTCGGGCTGCTACACCTACCAGGTGAGCCGGCACAGCGCCGACGTGCTGCACAGCCTCAACCAGCAGCGCAAGAACGGCGGCCGCTTCTGCGACGTGCTCCTCCGCGTGGGCGACGAGAGCTTCCCGGCGCACCGCGCCGTGCTGGCCGCTTGCAGCGAGTACTTCGAGTCGGTGTTCAGCGCCCAGCTGGGCGACGGGGCAGGTGGCGGCGGCGGCGGCGCGGACGGGAGCGCGGCGGAGGCGGCGGCGGCCGGCGGGGCTGCGGCGGCGACCGGCGGCGCCCCCGGGGGCGGGCGGGAGCTGGAGATGCACACCATCAGCTCCAAGGTGTTCGGAGACATCCTGGACTTCGCCTACACGTCGCGCATCGTGGTGCGGCTGGAGAGCTTCCCGGAGCTCATGACGGCCGCCAAGTTCCTGCTGATGCGCTCGGTGATTGACATCTGCCAGGAGGTCATCAAGCAGTCCAACGTGCAGCTCCTCGTGCCCCCCGCGCGCCCTGACATTATGCTGTTCCGTCCGGGGGCTGCCGACCTCGGCTTCCCTCTTGACATGACCAACGGTGCCGCTTTGGCGCCCAATGGCAACGGCATCGCCGGCATGCCCGAAGACGAGGCCACGCGGGCCGCACTCAGCGCCGCTCAGTCCTCCCTGCCCGTGCTGCAGGGCGTGGACCGCCTGCCCATGGTGGCAGGACCTCTGTCCCCACCGCTGCTGGCCTCGCCCTTCCAGAACGTTGCTGCTAGTGCCCCCACTTTAGGCACCAAGAGGGGCAGAGGGCGTCCCCGCAAAGCCAACCTCTTGGACTCCATGATGTTTGGTACCCCCGGGGGCCTGCGAGAGGCCGGTATCCTGCCTTGTGGCCTCTGTGGGAAAGTGTTTACGGATGCTAATCGTCTTCGGCAGCACGAGGCTCAACATGGGGTGACGAGCTTACAGCTGGGCTACATAGACATCCCACCCCCCAGACTGGGTGAAAATGGTGTCCCTGGTCAGGATGACCCCGATGCACCCCGGAAAAGAAGCAGGACGAGGAAACAGGTGGCCTGTGAGATCTGTGGCAAGATTTTTCGGGACGTGTACCACCTGAATCGGCACAAGCTGTCGCACTCTGGCGAGAAGCCGTACTCTTGTCCAGTGTGTGGCTTGCGGTTCAAGCGGAAAGACAGGATGTCCTATCATGTTCGATCTCACGATGGCTCTGTGGGAAAGCCCTACATCTGCCAGAGCTGTGGAAAAGGCTTTTCCAGGTAAGAGAAAGGACCACAGACACCAACGGAGACCTAGGAAGTTGTCTTTCCTGTCCCTTGGGATGCGTACTTAGGATAGTTTGACCGTTCCATTTTAAAATGTCTCAAGAAGTGGGACTTCCATCATTTCCTCTGGGACGCTATTCTGCAGTCTCCTGAAAGGGTTTAAAAGTAATTAAGACATAGAACTGGGAGTCAGTTGGCTTCTGGGGAACATGCCCAGCTTTATCCCAGACTTGGTGTGAGTGTGTCCTTGGGCAAATGAGTCTCTCCCTCAAATGACTCTTCTGTGAAATGGGTATTGAAATAATTACCTGCCTCACAGAAGTGTCTGGAGACCACTGATTTGTAGGTAGTTTGAAGGTGCTGTTGAAGTGCAAAATAATACATCTCAAGATTATTATTTTTCTCGTATCCATTTTAAATTTTCTTTTTCTTAACTTCCCTTCATTTCTCTTAGTTCGTAATGTTTTTTATCACCCAAATGTGAAGGAAGAGGTGAGATTTCAAAGGCTGCAGCATCAAGTATCTTTTATTACATGATCTTTGTGTCCTTTGGGTTTACATCCTTCTGAAGGGGATCCTGTTTCTGCCCTGCAACATACGTAAGATCTGTGCATTTAATGTTGCTGATTTTCTGTTGTCGCTGTTTGTGGGAGCTAATTTAATGAGTAGTTTGGTACACGTAGTTGTGTTAGTGGTATCTTATAGTCTGAGTTAATGAATTTGAAACTCTTTTGGAAGTTTGCTGCTCGCTTTGAGATTAGAAGTAGTGGGGGGGAGGGGGATGCATACACTCTTATTACTTCTGTACCAGCAGTCAGTTTTCTACAGCAGTTGCCTTGCTCTAACAGGAGGGAAGGAATCGAGATATGAAAACAAATCAAAAGGCCACTAGGCTATATAAATTGTGGAATTGCGCCCCTGCAAATTGTGGAATTCTGCCCCCGCTAGCTCTCTTTTTGATAGAGGGACTTTTTGTTAGAGGGACTTTTTGTTATTGAAATAAATGATGAAAATGTAGCCCTCCCCCCCCCTTTTTTTTTTAAATTGGCAATAATTAGGGATGCATCGCCATAAGGACTGCAGATTTAGTGACGGAGAGTCACAAAATGAAAATTTCATCCGTGGCTCAAAGTGAAAGTATTTTTCTTATTATAGCGCTACCTGGCATCGTGTACCAATTTTTATTGTTTTTATTGACACTCAGAGATTTCTGCTGTTGCTGTATGAAACGTTTTTGTCATCAAGGGAGAGATACGTGTTGAGCTCTCATTGTTCCCAGTAAGTTAATGTGAACAGGCAGGAACGCTGTTACAAAAGTAAACAACAAAAGTGTTTGCATATCTTTGTAAAATCGCAGTATGAATGAAACTACAGACTTTAGGTTTCAGTCCTCAGTCTTAGGAGCAGCCACAGGAGGCTGGAAGCGTGATGTCTAATTTTAGTCTCCTTTCCTTTATTCGGTAGCGCAGCACGTGAGGTGGCTGGGCTGGGGGTAGGCTGAAGGACCCCAACCAGTCTGTCCGGTTACACCACTCCAGCCCATCGCTGGAGCATCGGGTTTAGGAGCCTCACTGCAAAGTTCAGCCTATTTTCTGCCTGCAGTGCGTGAATTCCATCCCGAGTCCTCTCATTGGCGCAGCTGCGAAGCTGGGGGAGGAGAGGGTGGGGAACTTGTTTCCAAGCAGTTTTGGCCTCATACAATGAAAAGCTTTCTTCCCACTAGGAGAAACTCCCACCAGGAAAATCTGCGGCTCTTCAGTCCTTTCTTCTTCAAAGTAGGCTTTGCTGGTTGTGAAAAATAGTCTTTTTTCAGTAATAATTTGCTCTTCCATTGCACCTTCTAGTTGGGACCTTCAGAGCACTTTATTTGTATCAATGCAGTCTCCCCACTAAGTTGTGAGTTAGGACAGTATTTTTTCATCTTTAAGGTGGAAAATGTGTTACAGCAACAGAGTTTAGAGTCAGTCTTTTTGCACAGAGATACTTAAAGTTGGCTTTTTATATCCATGTTTGGGACATAAACCAAAAAGGTCTGATTTTCAAATATTCAGCTGCTGTAAATCAAAGCATCCTGATTGTCAAGATCTAAATAGGATTTTGGAAGGGGACATGCAGGCTTGAAAAACTGTAACTCATATTTCCCTTTTTCTCTCATCATTCAGTCATAATTTCTTCCTGAGAAAATGCTGCCTTTTTAGCAAGTTGGAGAGGGTACCTAACAAGGTAGAATCCCAGTTGTTGGTGATCTGGTTCTTGGAAAGTCAAATATCACTATATTTGTAATAGATCCAGCACTGGGATTTTTTTTCTTTGGTTAAAATTATAAGTTTATTTTTAGTATTTGTTTTAAGTGTGCTTATGTGTATTTTCCTTTAAGGCCAGACCACTTGAATGGACACATCAAACAGGTGCATACCTCAGAGAGACCTCACAAGTGTCAGGTAGGAGCCAGAGGGGTTTAGACTGATGTGTGGGTGATCTTTGGCATTGGATTTATGTGTGCAGACAATTCTGAAGTACCAGTAAAGATACCATGTGTGCGTGAGTTGGGTTAAATGTTTGTGAAGAACAATGTTCCAGTGACAGCTGCTTTACATCCCTCCCATCCCCTCCTTTTCTGTCCCATCCCCTCCTTTTCTGTCCCATCCCATCCCAGCCCCTCGTGTCATCTACAGCTTTGGTCCTCCTGCTTCCTTCCCCTTCTTCCCCTTCCCTCTTGCTCTGTCCCAGTCTCACCCTGGATCTCTTACTCAGCCACCTGGGCTTGGAGTCAGTGGCACTGATGATTCCTTCCACTCCCCTCCCCTTTTTTTTAACTGCAGTTGTTGCCATCAGGAGGCTCCAATGCCGACTACATTTTTTTAGAATAATTTCAAATAAAAATAATAAATTATAATTATCATAACTTGTCAAGATACCAATTTTTTTAGCTCACATAGCCTTCAGAACATTGCACTGAGCAAAATTGGAAGCTGTTTTTTATCCCAGGGTGAATATAAACAACGGCATCACAATATCCTTTGTCATTGCAAGGTCACAATGCTGTATATAGTTTTTTGCAGTTAATAAATTATTTGTTAGGGTTTGAAAGATCAAATGAAGGGATATATTTTGTAATTGATTTATAGAGAGATTTAAAAGGTGCATGGAAGTATCAGTTAAAACCAAAGCTGAGAGTCAGCTCCACTATTATACACTGCCTTCACATAGATGTTGGGCAAATTTCTGTAACATTTCCTGGGCTAAGAGTCTCCATGCTTGGTTTCTGCAGAGAGATTTATTTAATACTTATTTGAAGAAGTTGGAGCAAGATTATTTTCTTTTTCTTTGAAGACAAGGATTTTTTCTCCTAAAATATTCACCCACATTTTCTGAACTCAGTCAATCCTACATGACTGCTGCCTCCCAATCTGCATTTTTGCACGTTTTGATACATCTCTCCTATGTTTCCTTTAAATTGTGAGAGTTTTGAAACATTTTGCAATTTTAATAATCTAGTGAACAGTTCTCCAAATAGCTGGAGCCATCTGAAGGTTTCTGTTGACATCCATATGATCTGTGGAAGCCCAGCACCTTTGAAAGTCAGGCCACAGAGCCATCACATTGATTTAACTGTATGTCCTATATAAAGCTTTAGATTGGTTTAAGCTTCTTAAGATGATTTAGGCTTTATAGATTTATACAAATTGGAAAATTCCACTCATAAAAAGACTTCCCAATCAGGGGACAGCAAGGGGTCTGGGTGGATGAAGATGACCACAGATTTTTTCCATAACCATGTATTTGTCCACAAGTACAAAAATAAATGTTTAGTCCCAACATGAACAGAAACTCCTCAGTCTTTTGCCAGTTGATACCAAAATGACTGAATGGACACAGTTTATGAATAACACTGATAGAAGTGAATTATCCTTTGCCAGCTGATGCCTGATAATTTTTTTATAGTTTCTGATTGAAGTGTATTAAATATAAACTCTGTGTGAATCAGAGGAGACACTAAGAGCTAGAAAGAAAAGAAATGTGGAAGCTAAGACTGTACAGCCAAGCTCAGCCCCTTCTCCTTGCACACATGTATTTTGTGACAGCAGTTTCTAAGAACAGTCTCTCTCATCATGTGTTGTCTGAAGTGCCATAACACTGCATGCATTGTCCATCTCAGTTAAAAGGCATAGGCTACAGGTTACAAGCATCAGGGCAGAGCTGAGATTGTCCTCCAGGCTTGGTTTGTTCTTGATTTTTGACTGCTTAACCCTGCAAAGTTAATTTTTTATGAATCTTAAGGTATAGAAAATTTGTTAACGACCTCTTGTGTGTCTTTGCAAAAACTACTTGGTAATGTGCTGTCAGATTTAGAAAGTCTTCTTAAACATGCACAGATCTGCTGTACATGGTACAAACACAGAGGGGGTGCTGTCACACTGAACATTTGTTTCAAACATGAAAGCTGAGGTATAAATTGATAAAGTTCTTGTGATTATCTCATAGCCAGTTATGCTTCTGTTCCGTATGTGTATCTAAACACAGGATCTGGCCACAAAGAAGGAAAATAGCTTAATATTGGCATGTTGTTTGCCCATTTTCCATTCCTTTTTTCCATGGATTTTATTTGGCAAATTAGCTCCCCATGAGAGCAGCCTGAACAGCATTGAGCATCCTTTTTGAATCTGTTGAGTTCCCGCTGAACATTCCTGTTATTGTCATGCTTTGTTTATGTTTACTGAAAAAGAGAATTCCTCTGTCAGTAAACAGAAGAGCATTCCAGAATCCTCTATTGCAATGGCATTTTTGGAATTTGTGCTCTGATTTAAACAAAATCCACCAGCCCTATACCTGAGCCCTCATGTATCTTTGCAAACCAATAGATGTCTGTGTTTTGTTGATGTGGCATCATGGTACACGTGGAGTACCAAAACAGAAGTGAGAAGGTATCAGCCCAACTACAGAATAAATAAAATGAAAGTATGAGGAGCAGGACAGTTGTAAAGCTGAGCATCACTGCAGCAGCAGCTGTAGTTTTCAGTGCTCAGTTTGTAATCCTGTACTCAGCCCCCTAAAATCTGTGCTTCACAGATCTTTCACAAGCATCCTAAGTTCCAGCACCTCTAGCACCTGATGCCAAAGACCTGACTCCAGCTGTTTCATTACTGTTAAAATAGACTCAGATTAGGGAAGGTCTCCACAGAGGCAAAGCAGCTGGGAAATCAGATCCAAGGAGTTGTTTTGGTGTCCAGGCAAATGGCACTCTGGATTTTTTTCCCTGGATTGTTGCACTGGTGATTTTTTTGGGTTATTTTTAATTTTTTTTTCCCAATCTGACAGTTTGAGCTGTGATAGAGGAGAAGGGGTAAGTCAGTTCTGTGGCCACAGTGGGATGGCTCAGAGTGCTGACTCCATGGGAAGGGGGAAGCTGTGGCTCTGGCGTGTGAATGGGATGAACGTTAGGCTGCAGTTTGGGAGGAAATGGTGATCTGAAAATCTGTGGATGTCAAAGGACAAGGGGACAAAACGGAAGTTTGCTCCTTCTCAGAGACAAGAGACAGCTTGTTCTGGCACACTGAATAAATAAGAAAAATGCAGGTTAAATTAAAGCACAGCTTAATTGGCATCCCAAGTCCAGTGCTTTTCCCATTGATTTCAATGCAGAATGAGTTTCTTCCTGTCCTAATTTCTCTTACTTCCTGCCTATTAGCAGGAAAATGGCAGCCACCATGGAATAAGCTCAGAGACATCCACATCCATAGAAAAGTTGAAACTTCAAGAGGTATTTCTTAAACAATGTTTTTTAAACTTTATATATTCTTTTTTGGTCTATTTATATACCTGTGCAATGTTTGATAGAAAAGCACTGGAGAGTTTTCTTCTATGATTAACAATTAATGATAAATATTTAGCACTCATTTAGCACTTCACATCCTTTGTAAAATAAGACCTTTTTTTTTCTCTATACCTTTTATAAATATTAACTATTTGAATATTAACTTTGGGGTTTTCTTTAAACCTAGTCCTGTTTCCCATTGTTATGATTCAGCTAAACTGGTTCTTGCTTTCTCCACTGGACTTAATTATTTTTTTTAAGCTTCTTCACAGATATATTTTCTCTATAGCTTATCCAAAGGTGAGCTTTGCACAACTCAGCAGCAAGAGTGAGAAATCAATCACAGAAATTATTATATGGCCTTTCCCTAAGCTTTCAACTTGCTGAGTTCACTCTGGGTCAGATGTGGTTTCACTTCTGGCATCCCTGTATTTGTGTGATCTGTCTCTGATCTGTTTATGAGCTTATGCCCCCCCAGTGCTCAGGAGTGGACGTTCCTGCAGCTCAGTAGCTTTAGATTTACTGATGATGGATCTCTTGGCTGTCACTGATTATCTAGTTATATATCTTTAGCTGATATCCAACACATTGATTACTATCAGTGCTGCAATCCTGCCTTCAAAGAGTGTTTAGCTCTAAGAACATTTCAGTAAGTGAAAGCTGCACCTGTTTTGCTCAGCGCTGTGTCCTGGGATTTCAAAGGAGGAGAAACCTTTCACGTTCAAGAATTTGCCTCTTAATCCTACACAACTTGTAATTTATGAATCTTTGTCTAGTGAGCTTAGTTAAACTGTGTCACAGAAATCCAGATAGTTTTACTGTTGCCTTTTTAATTTCATTAAGTCCTGATCCTCTGAGGTGTTAAGTCTTGTGCTTGCCACAGAGCAGCCTCAGCTCCCTGGGAGTTTGCCACACTGAAGCATCTCACAGGATCAAATGAGTGTAAAGCCTGTTGAAGTTGATAGGTACTTTTCAGCTGCCTTCAATGTTTTTTGGATTAAGCTCTTGATTAACTGAATTTTATATATTTATATGTGTTACCCTCTTCTGTATTATCAGTTTCACTTACTTGACATTACAATTTTGGAATTTTACTAGGATTGTTACTTTAACAAGTCTATCTCTATCGGAACAGTGATTTAATTACATACAGATACTTGAAAAGATAGAATATATCCAGTTCCCAAGTCACTTAATAGCCCCATATTATTTTTAGGGGGTTCTGGTTATACATCTTAAAACTGTGTTATTTTATATAAAGGTGGTATAAACAAAACACTGTCCACTCTTGGCTGTCACTGCTGCCCCTTGCTCTGGTCACTGTGATGTGTGTTTGCTTTGGTTTCTGCTCTCACACTTGTGAAGTGGGCCAGACTGTGTCTCCCATACCCTGTACAGCCCATGGCTGGTGATTTATTTCCCTTCAGACCTTAGAGATAGAACAAGCCCTTGAGAACTGGCAGGCTGCTGCAGCAGGCTGTGGACAGAGCCTGCGTGCCTGCCCATTCCTGGAATTATAAAAATGGGAGGGAGCCTTCACTCATCATATGGATTTCACCTGGGAAGTGGGCGGGTAGAATGGATATTGTGCCAAATCAAGCTTGTTACATGGTAGTAAGTAGAATATGATACCTTGATCAGGGGTAAGTTATAAACAGATTACAGTGTCCTGCAGTTATTTTGATACCTGCTCAATTCTGAGGCCTCACTTGTACAGTTTGTCTGCACTGCTGCTGTGGATACCAGGATGACTCTTCTACTGTCTCTTGTCATATTCTCATCCCAGATGATTCTCTGATGCTTTGTTTGTATGTCTTCATACTCCAAAAGATTCTGTGTACTGAAGTCAGATTGATCACATCAAAGAGCAGAATGTAGGAAGATGAGAGAGGACATTTTGAGTGGTCCAGAGTGATCCAAAGTGATGGCTCAGTGAAATGGCAGAAATTACTGTAAATGGAATGAAGTGGTTTGTGCTATTTCTGTTGTTAAATATTATTTAAAATTTTAGTATCTTCATCCTCAGAGAGGAGCTAAAGCCTTACAACTCTATCTTGATTTAAGTTTTACTGTCTGTAATATGTTAGAGCTGTTTCCTTAATTCTTTCAAGTAGTAACATCACATCATGTGCAATGTGTTGGTGATCTGAATTTTTTTGTTTGTGGGGGAAAATGGCTTGTGCATCATGTCATTTGTGTCTTTGCTCAGGATCTAAGGTATTTACTCTAAAGAATACTAAATATATTCAACAATATCAGTGCTTTTGGCAGAGCTGATGAGTCACATGGTTCTCGTTGTACCTGCAGACTTGTAATGCTTCCTTTGCCACTCGTGACCGGCTGCGCTCACACCTGGCCTGTCATGAAGACAAAGTCCCATGCCAGGTGTGTGGGAAGTACTTGAGAGCAGCATATATGGCAGATCACTTGAAGAAGCATAGTGAAGGACCAAGCAATTTCTGCACTATCTGTAACCGAGGTAATGAAGAAACTATTCTTTCCTTTCAGTGGGCTGGGGTGGCACTGGAGGGGAGCTGTGAGGCTGAGTGACTCTGCCTGCAACAGGAGGAGGTTCTACCATGTGTATGACCATCCCCTGAGACTGCTGCAGCTGTAGGGCTGGCTGAGAGTTCCTAAAGAAACTCAGTTTAAATCTGAAGCAAATTGTTTCGAGACAGTTTTAAGAATTTTAATTGCTAAATAGCCAGATCCCTATACAATAACCACGATAAGTTGCCTTGCTGCTGTTCACCATACGTCTTCTTTTTCTATACCTGGTTAGACTTGAGTCCTTGCAACCAGTTTGGAAGAAGAATCTCTGAAATACACATCAAGTTGAAAATCATACACTGAGCATAAACAGATTTACATTTTGTTATCAAGTCTTGCTCAACCTCCTGGTGCAGCAGAGTCAAGCTGCTTCTCCCTCCTAAACCAAGAAATTGCTTTGTATTAATGTACATTTCTAAAACAGATTTTGTAAAGAGCACTAGAAATGTGTTTTACCTTTATTTGTACAAATACAGCTTTTCATAGTATCATAGAATATCTGGAGTTGGAAGGGACCCATAAAGATCATTGGATCCAACTCCCTGCTCCTTGCAGGACTACCTAAAACTAAACCATATGACTAAGAGCTTTTGAAGCTTTTCTGTCTGTTTATGGTATTCTTCAGTTGAAGACAGTTGGAAATTTAGATTTTGTGGGATGTAAGGCAAGCTGGAAAAATGATTTTGACTTATTGGTGTCTTTTTTTTTTTGAATTATTAATATACAACTTCAAAATACACTGTTGGCTCACACAGCTAGTAAGGGCTGGAAGAGGTTGCTGCTGTGTTTTGGAATCTTGTTTTTTCCAATGAGTCATTTTTTTTCTGATGTGTGTTCCCTTTTCTAATTTAAGAGATGTGAAATCTTCTGAGAGAGAGAATAAAGCTGTTCTGTGTTTGATGTGAGGACTGTACAGGGAGCTTTTGGAGTTGATGAGTAATGAGAGACATTAAACTGAAAGGGAAGTATTTGCACTTGTTGAACAGTGTGTTAGGTCCTGAAAGTGATATTAACAGTGTGAGTGGAAAAGGCATCTGGGATGAGAATCCTGAGGTTCTGGAGCTCCAGTAGATGGTGTGAAATGAAGTTTGCCCTCCTTTTCGGCTTCTGAAAAACTGCTTAAGCTTATCCCGATTCTTTTTGTGGTAACAATGAGAGATCCTATTCAAGGTCCAGGTGCTGTCCTGCTCTCCTTCAGCTGAGCGTGGTGCCAAACAGAAACTCCCCTGAGTTGGGAGGAATTGTCTTGTTTCCAAGATTTGTGAGCTTGAGTTTCAGCGTAACTACCACTGGATGTCACTGCAGCTCTTTGGAAATGGAGCCAGTGTGACAAAGACAGACCCGGCATTCAAACAATGAAATGACCAGGGGGTGTATTCACATTTTACAAGTCTAAATGTACAGTGGAAATTTAAAAATACTCTTCTCTGCAGAAGGACTGTTGTACAGTCACCTTTAAGCAACTCCTTTCTTACAGTTCGTGTACTTCACAGCAGTTGTCAGAGTTGTCAGAATTGGGTACTGTGAATTTCAGTTTACAGCAGGACTTGAAAAATGTAATTAATGTGGTAAATTACTGTTAAATCTCTACCCAATATTAAAATTCATAGGAAGGGGAAGTCACAGATTGGATTTGTCAGATAACTGTGTTACGAACTCACTGTTTTACGTTGTAAATGTTGATTACAGATTTATGATCAGTGACAGCAGAATCTTTCATCCCAGGTGTTCTAGAATCAAATCATAATGTTCATAGTTTTAATTAGATATCTTTTAAAACTGTAGAGCCTGACAAGATGGAGTCTAGTGGAAGGTTTCTGGATCAGAAACACCTGTTTGTAGGCATTGGGACAGTCAGAAGCTGCACTAACCCGACTGTTGTGCTGTGCCTGCGGTGCTTGTGCAGTGGCACTTGGTTTATTCTTCCCCTGCCTAATGTGCTGGTGTATCTTTTAATTGTAACTTAGCTGGTTCTGGATATAGTAAATGTCAACTTCTGGATATAATAATTGTCAAGCAAGAATGCTTTCCAAGCCCAGGCTACTTGTAGAGAGAATTTTGGATGTTGGCCCACACAAAAAAAAAAAAAGTGGATGAAAAAGATGACTCTTACCCAGCTGAACATTCCCAGTGTTAATGACAGAGCTTAGAATCCCTCAGTTGGACTGAAAGCTTTTCTGTGGAACTTAATTAAGCATCTCATGTTCTTTTAAAGGTGTAATGGATTTAGGAGATGGGGCTGGAACTCAGCACCTGACAGAAAGCAGCAGCCAATGGTTTGCCATGTCACGTGTGTGCCCATTTGTTGATCATATCTATTTCTTTTACAACATGGCAGTTTAATATCCAGAAATTAGCAGCTGTGATTTGATGGTTTTTGCAGGTTATTTTCTTATTCAGGGTCTTTATGCTTAGAATAATCATGGGAGCAATTAAATCTTTTAAATCAGGGAAACAGTACAATGGTTTTGGTTTTTTTTGTGTTTGGTTTTTTTTTGTTTGTTTTGGGTTTTTTTGTGTTTTTTTTTTTTTTTCCTGGAATTTTGGTTGTTTTGTTTGCTTTTGGGGGTTCTTTTTCTTTTGGTTTGGTTTTTTTTAAGAATTTGTCTAAAATATGCTTATAAAAAACTAATCCTCAAGCCTCACTTTTTAAGACAAATTCTCTTTAATCAGGTTAAATAAAAAAGACCTGCTTCTGTTGTCTTGTTGCATAAACTTCTATTACCATCCTTAGGAACTTTATTTGCTTGTGTGGACAAATTCAAGAGATTGATGACTTTGGCAAGTCTTGAGCTGGTACTTTGTAATAACAGGTGCAACTCAGAAGTTTGGGGTTTCTGTTTCAGACACAGACACACTGTTTGTTCACAGAAATCAAATGAGTGAGGAGAAGGGTAGATATTCCAATCACAAGTGGGATGCAATTTATTTTTACTATAAGATGAATTCTTGCACTTTTCATGGAGGACACAAAGTCCATTAAAGCAAGAGATTCTCTGCATGTTCCAACTAAATCCAAATTAAAATTTTTGAACAGGGAGCATCCTGCAATTATTTCTCTAATTTATCTCCATATAGATGTTATGTGGGAGATGAAGGGATAGGTCCCATTTATATAAAGCAGATAATTTCCTCTCTATGCATGTTTTCCTTCTGGTATGAAGAAATAATCTGCTTCTCAAAGCAGAGAGATGTGTAGGGTAAAACAATAATTACATTCCTTCTCAGAAAAATACTGCCACTTTATCCTCTGCACAAGTCTGACTTTGTACTGAAAGAGACTTTTAAAAGTAAGGAATTTTTGTCCATGAACCCCCATCTTTCTAGGACAGGCATTCCTAATTAGTCTGGTGGAGGAAAAAAAGGCCAGTGCTAAGTGCTTCAGGAAAAAATTAGGATAAAAACAAACTCCCCCAAATCTCCCTTTAAACAGTTTCCCATGAAGCAGTTGGCATTCTTAGGGCTTTGATGGAAGTTGATGACTCACATGTTCATCTGCCAAGTGCATAAAGGGGAGCTAACACACTTTGCAGCAGTTTCCATTATATAAAACAATGTGCTCTACAAATAGAATTGCAGAGTTCAGAAATAATATTGTGTAGCAGAGATTACAGCTTCAGATTCTCCTGTGTCAGTCCTGGTTTGGAAAGCCACTGAATACCTGTGTGTAGCCCTTTTTTAATGGTTGGCAGGGAGATTTTAGTGCATTGCTACATAAAAGAGGCTGATCTCAGCATGCCTGTGGTTATTGGGCATGTAGGAAATAAGGGAAGCACCTCGTAGATGGAAGTGTCACTATTATGTCTGTACCCTTTTCTCTGCCAGTCAAACACTGGTTCTTTCCATATCTACAGAAAATTCTTGTTATTTATAAAAAATACATTCTCTTGTTGCCCAGTGAGGTTTCAGTGCAGCGTTTCGTGTCTGAGGGCAGGTCTTGCATTATTCCCTTCCCCTGATTCCCTGGATGCCTTGCCCTGGCTCATTCTGCTCTACTGTGTGTCCAGAGTCGTATGTTCTTGGTGTCTTGAATTGTGATGTATCTACTTTTCTGTGCTTTTATCTTCAACTCAGGGGTCCACAGTAACTACCTCTTGTTCATTCCCAGCAGCCTGCCCTTTCCCCCTTCAGCAGGCTGCTGTGGAGTTCTGTCTCGCTTTGCAGGTCCTGGATACTCTTTGATCCTGGCTTGTAAGGAAGAGTCTGGGTAGAGGGATATTCTGTTGGCTAGGCATGGGAAAATCTAGTGTAAAGCCACATTCATGATTAAATTCAGCACCTGAAACTAACAGCTGCTGTCAGAAAATCCACCCCAGAGATGTGTGCAGGATGGGGTTTCCATCTTTCCTAATGTATTATTATATATCATCAAATGTAAATACAGTTATATCACTATAAAATGGCTTTACAGTAGAATAACTATTCATCTTTTAAGTGATTGGTATGAAAGTTCTCTTACAGGGGCTTGTGCTGTAAATGCTGGATTGGTTTAAAAAAAATCTAGGACTTGGGTTTTCCCTCTCCATAAAGGGAACCTGGAACTCTGGGCCTGTGACAGTGAACCTTGTCTTGTGTTCGGTTGTTAAAGGAAAATGTTTCTGACATGAAAGTGCCATAATATTCTGTTCAAAATCTAACAGAAAATTAAGCTGGTTGTTGGGAGGTTTACCTGTGTAGGAAATCTTTAAAATTCTGTCCTCCTTGTGTCTCATATATGGTCCAAATGTACTAGTAATAATTGCAGATCTTATGAAGATTGAATTTAAAAGCATTCCAAAGTATATGTGAGGTAATTTATTGCATTAAAGGAAAAGGACATGTGAGACTTCAAAAACCATTTTAAAAAGCACATGCACAGATGTAAAAAACCTGTTTTGTTCAGAAATCAATTGTTTGAAATATATGTTTTTAATTTCAGTGGTTTGGGCTTATGGATCAGAGCTGATAGAAATAGTGAAATTTATTTTTAATATTTTTTGTTTACTGTAGACAAAATACTCAGGATGAGCTGAATGCAGGAAATGTGTTCTAAAAATTACTATAGAACAAAACTGTATACCTCAAAAACTCAGTAGTTTTAGCTTTCTGCCTTCTAGAAGTCACTATAAATGCCAGAAACCTGAGGGGAAAGCACACTAAATACCAACGAGGGGTGTTGCTAAATGGCATTCCTTTGAATCTTAACAGCATAAAATCAACTAATTAGAACTATTTTCCAAAGTGTTATCAGATGATAAAGGCATTTTTAATTAAAATAAATAAAACAGCACAAAAATGGTGAAGAGGCATGGGTGCCTTTTTCTATGATGTCTCTTCTGCCTTTTTTCCAGAAAGTTCCTTATCATCTGCTCAGTTGGGTTCCACAGAATTTGTTTTGAAGGAGGCCGTGCTTTCGTCATGACTAACAAAAAGCAAACACAGTCTGACGAAAAGTTTGCAATTCATTACTGCCTGATGACAGGATCCTACCTGAGCATGTCCTAGGGAATTAGCTGGTGTAAGGGCAGCTTTGGAATAGGGAGCAGGAGTAAAAGATTAAAGATCAGGGAAGGCAGATGTGTGTCTTTGCTGGTGGCAGGATCTCATCTCCTTTTATCTTGTTTAGGTTTCTCCTCTGCCTCCTACTTAAAGGTCCATGTTAAAACCCACCACGGTGTTCCCCTTCCCCAGGTCTCCAGGCACCAGGAGTCCATCCCGAATGGGGGAGCAGCGTTCCACTGCGTCAGGACCTATGGCATCAAAGGCAAGAGACTCTGCTCTGCACTTGCTGCTCTGGGCAGAGCTGTGTGTGGTGGGGCGTTGGGCTGGGAGGGAGGAAGGACAGGGAAATACTGGAGACAAGCTTAGGGAGATGCAGAGGAATTCCACAGCATCATGTAGGATGTGATACCTGCCCTTGGATAGCTGATCTAACAAGGCTGGGGGAAGGAGATGGACACAGAAAAGCATAGGAATTTTTGGCAGCTTCTTTGATTTTGGAGATTGAAAAAGCCACGTGTGTTCATCTTGAGCCTCTCCTGTGGAGCAGTGTCTGAATTTTGCCTGAGGGTGCAGATCATGGGCCAGTTCCTTAGTCCCACTCCACTGGAATCTCGTGTCAGTCAAACCAGGTTTCTGGTGAAGGAAGGGGGAGCTGCAGAATGCAGTTCATAAAGATTCATCCTCAAGATAATGAGGGGCCATGCAACTTTCTATAGCTAAACTTGCACTTCTAAAAGTTGTTATTGGAGGGGAGAGGGTGATAATAGTACTGGTACTTGTTTGTTTGGTTTTACCCTGTATTTAACTTCTGGGGGAAAAAATATTATTGTAAGCATAGCTTAAGAGTATTTAACTTCTGAATAAGTAAAGCTGTGTGTTTATCTGTGTAGAATAGCTTTTTGCCTTTTTGGTTTGAGCTGTCAGTATTTCTGGTGAAGCTGAAACATCAGAAGATGTTTTGCTTTAAACCCATGGTTGTTACCTTTTTTTCTTGCCCAGGAGAACACAGCAGGCTGGGTCAAACAAAGTCTGTGCCCTTAGAAAGCTTCACGTGTGCAATTTTTTCTGTTGAAGTGTTATAGAGTTACTACAGTAGCCCTTTGGTTTTGGGTGGTGTGCTGACTTAACAAGAGATTTACTCCAGCTCAGTGGTGTACTGATTTCATGCATATCCTGTTTGGTTTGTAATGCTGAGTCCAGAGCAAATCTGTCTTTTGGGTTGTGCCAAGTGGTTCTTTGGTCTTTTAGAGTTAATAGTAGGTACAGCTTATTTGTATTCAGAGACTTGCTCAGTGAGTATGTCTGGGTTTCTCACGCTCATTCACATGCACTGAGCAAAAAGTGTGGCCAAACTTCCCTGGCATAGTGCCAGAGGAGAATGGGGAACACTCCAAACATACCAATGGCTTTTGCTGGGATAGGTATCCAAATAACTTTAAAACAGTGTCCCTAACATTTCTCCTGTTTCACACTACAGCATTTAAAGGTGGAGCAATTTCAGATTGTGAAGTTCACTTTCAACAGTGTTGCACTTGTGAAAAAGAGTTCCTTGAGACTAAGTGTAACTGCACTCAAACTGCAGGAGCTCACTGCTGTTGCTGAGTATTTCCAGGTTTCTTCCCATCCTGCTGCAGCCTGTGATACTTTGTGAAGTTTCTCTAGGCTCTGCCCCAAAGTATCAACAGTATTTCAGAAGTGTGTGAGTGAATTGCACAGTTAAAAAGTCATCATTAGGCCCATCCTTTCGTAGTATCTGAGGTGTAAACACTGTGAGACATCTCTGAGATTCAAGAAATGTGGTATAAACAAAAGACCCGTTATGTTTGCATCCAGTATCATGACAAAGCCCTAATGACACCCCAGCTGTTGCTCTGGGGGCAGCCTGATGGTCTGGAAAGAGGACCTGTGCTCAGGGGCTGGAAAATGTGAGGGATTGGATTTTAAGTGTGTAACATTCTGTCATGACAGCATGAATGTGATCAGGTGGTAACCAACACAATCTAAATATGCTGAATACTCTGTTTGGGGCATAAGATTCTGAAAACTTCTCTCTTTTCTTTTCCCGTAGAAGGCCAGAAATGTTCCCATTCGGACCCGATTGAGAGTTCTGATTCATACGGAGACCTCTCTGACACCAGTGACCTCAAGACTCCTGAGAAACAGAGCACCAACGGGTCCTTCTCGTGTGAGCTGGCAGTGAGCAAAAACAAAATGGAGACGGAAGGGGAGAAGAAATACCCGTGCCCTGAGTGCGGCAGCTTTTTCAGATCCAAGTCTTATCTGAACAAACACATACAGAAAGTTCACGTCAGGGCCCTGGGTGGCCCCTTGGGGGACCTGGGTCCTGCTCTGGGATCCCCCTTCTCACCCCAACAGAACATGTCTCTCCTGGAGTCCTTTGGGTTTCAGATCGTCCAGTCAGCATTTGCATCATCCCTGGTGGATCCAGAGGTCGACCAGCAACCGATGGGGCCAGAGGGGAAATGAGATCAGTGTGATCTTAGCAAAGCAAAGCAGCAGTCTGGCTATAGTGATAAGATGCTGTGAATGAAAGAGGAAATAATGGAATTGGGTTCTATAGCTGAGAATTTTTTATTCATTTTAGCTTCCCTCTTTGTCTCATGCCCAACCCCCACCTTTAAACTTCCACCGGGGAGAGGGAGAAGATGCTTCTTAGCTGATAAATTACAGAAGATGGTGGCCTTGAATAGGAGACATGACCCAAAACACTAAATGGAGCTTTAGAGGCTGCTGCTGGTGTTTCTCCATGTTCTTCTGGAATAATGAGAAGTTGCCAGCACTGGTGTGAGAACGAGACAGTCCTAGTGACCGAGGCACCTGGGGAGCTACAGCTACAGGGAGCTATGGTTTTGTTCTCTCTCTATTCCCCACCCTCCCTAAACTACCCCAGAAAAACAGTAAGTTTTAAAAACAGACCCACTATTGAATAACATTAAGTAAAATGCCCCGTGGTTCCTAGCAGGTTACAATGCAGTTGTCCTTTTAAAACCAGAAAAAAGTTTAAAGGAGGTGAGAGAATTCGAACCCCTTCTGCCTTTGTGAGGCTGTGAGTGCTGCAGCAGGACTGAACTGCTGAGAAAAATCACCTTTCAGAACAGGTTGTTTTCATTACTTTTGACCATTAAACTTGCTGTCAGGTTTTTAATTCTTTATTATTATTATTTTAGGACCTGTTGTAGTGAATTGCTACTGAAAAGCCAGTCTAAGGCGATACGCAGAGCACTCGTAAAGCAGCAGTCACATTAGGGTTAGTATTAATTTTTATTTTTTTTTTTAGATGTACCATAATTAATAACTTGGCTAGTTGGTTGTTTTAAGTCTATGAAAGGAATAGTTTGTATGAAAAGAAAAAAAAAGAAAAAAAAAAAAAAGGAAGGAAAAATACCATTGCAGTCTGGTTGACTGGTGCTCATTTTTCATGTGGGGACCTAGGGTATGAACACGATCAGCTATCGGGTTGACACTATGTACCACTGACTTGTTTAGTGTGAATAAACCCAGGGGTTCACAGAGTGATTTTGGTTTAATTGGATTGGACTCTATTAAAGAAGTTAGTATGTTACTTTGCATCCCCTCGTTTTGTCTGGTTTTTGAGCAATTCAGCCACCTGTCCAAAAGGTGTGCAAGTGAGAGCCAGTAAGTAAGATGTTAATCCCACTCTACACTGTGCTGTATTCTGAGCTGGGCTTTTTGGCCACAGTCGTGCTCTCCTGATCTGCCTCTAGTCAGGTTTGCAAAAGCCAGTCTTACTCCTTTCTTTTCCAAAGAAGAAGGGTTTCTAGTATAAGAGGTGGGAATTGCAAACAGCATATCTCTGAAAAAGAATTGATTACAAAATGCAAAGAAGCTGGGCTTTAGGCTGTTACAGGTTCCATTTAATCTGAAAATACCACTTGTGCAGAAATAATGTCCTTTCTTGACCCTCCCTTTCCTCCCATGTTACTTGTCAAGGTTTTATGTACCAAACCCAGGTATAAATGTTGTTTAACACAGGGTTAGGAGTTAGGAATACTCTGAGTTTTAATTATGGTTCTGCTGTTGATGCTCAAGGTTACATAGAAGAGTTCCCTGAATTTATTCCTAAATTTCCTATCTGTGAAGAGTTTTCTCTACATCACAGTTGTAGAGAGGGTTAATGAGTGAAGGTTTAAGCAGTGCTTTGGTAAACTGCTTTGTGTTCTGAATGTCTCTAGAAAGGCCATTCTGAAGAGCCCAAGCCCCACACTAAACTTGCATCCCAGGAAACAGTGCCTGTCTCCATCATTAATACAGTGCTGGAGCAGGGCAGATCCCTCAGACCAGGATCCACATCTGCTGCAGGAGATGTGCCTGTGTTAAATGGGATGGAGCCACAAACTGCTATTGCACCACAGCTTGCCTTGCCCAGGTGCTCCTGATCCAAACCCTGCAGCTAATGCAGAACTGAAATAAGACACATTCCCATTTTGGTTTTATGTTTGGATTATAGAGCCTTTTGTAAGTATATGGATTTTGGAATGACCTTCTAAATTCTACAGAGTTAGAAGTTCCAGATTCTCTTGTTAGAAGCTACTTTTTTGTACTTGCTCTCGAGTGTTATAAACCCAGGATGAATAATCAATGGCTTTCTCTTTATAGCACCAGCACTTTCTAAATTGAGAGCATGTTGCAGTGGACTTGATGTTTTGCTATTAATCTGTGTTGGGAGACTGAAGGACATGTTCTTCTCCAGTCATCTTCTCCCAGAATCCCTGGAATAGGTATGAGTCTCATGTAAAAGGAAAAAAAGCAAGCAAGCAAGCAAACAAACCCACCTTCAGACTAAAGCTTCATGGAATTGCTGTTGCTGTACTGGTAAGATTAGTTGAGAGGTAGAAACAGAACATTTCAGAAAAGTGACAAAACATTTTAAAATACCTTACAAATCTAAACAGTGCTGAGACAACCTTGTAAGCTGCCAAGGAAGTCAGGCTGGAGCAGGCTTTCCAGTCAGCATAACAATTCATGGGGATTAGCAGATGCAACTGCAGTCACTCTTTCACTGATAGCTCGTATTTAAGCCACAAAGTGAAGTTTCTGTTGAACTGAGGCTGGGTGCTGAAAGAGAGAAGTTTGTGTCCCTGATGTTCCCATGTGCACTTAAAGAGGGTGCACTAAATTAAAAAAATTCAATTCCAAAAGCCAAATCCAGAGTATAGGATATTTTCATCCTACATTTAGCTCCACTGACTTTAGTGTTAGTAGTGGGTTGAATTTTGGCCATGTCTATCAATTTAATTTTGAATGCTACAGAATTTGACCTGGTGAAACCAATGAAAAGCCTTGAACTAAAACTGAAGCCTTCTAAAATATTAAAAATCCATGTTGAAAAACTGAAGCCTTCTAAAATATTAAAAATCCATGTTGAAAAACTGAAGCCTTCTAAAACACTAACTGTGCATTCTGCTTGTCAAAGAAAATGCTTACTAAGGTGTCATGAATACACTGAATGAAAACTACTTACTTCTCAGTCTAGGGGACAGGGAAACAATTAGGCAGGAAGTTTACAATCCTGAAATGACAGTTCTAGATCATCCTGGTGTAAATGGGAGAGATTTGTACCAGCACAAGAGGCTGGTGCAGGCTTAATGGCAGCCGGAGTTTGGGCAGATCTTCAGCAGTGGTGTGTTTTCAGTATTTTTGCTTCTTTGGGGGCATACTGTTCCATTCTGGACAGTAAAGTAATCTACATGCAAATCCTCTCTATTCTGTACTTTTGGAAATGTCTGTTTCTCACAGAACATGAGACAGATCCAAACAGAAAACCCAGCTCACAAGTTCAGAGTTCAAAGGGAAGTAAGTACATTAGATGCCCTGAGCTGCAGCCTCACTTGTTGCTATTAGATTTTATTTTTAATTGGCATATCAGTGTATAGGTGATAGTTCTGATTTTGGGCCACCCTCCTTTCCTTGTCATCCCCTTTGGTGGGACTGCAGTCCCATGTTTGAGTCGGTGCATGTTTCTGCCAAGAAGGAAACTTCAGTTCATACAAATTTGGATCATCAGAGTCTTTGTATTATAGGAGTCCCATAACCTTTCATCTGAGGCTCAGAGTCTTGTGTATTAGGTATGATGAAAACATCTTCAGTCATTCATGATCTAAACATTAAAGACAGATAAGAAAGGAATAGATGCTTATAGGTGAGTGAGTGAAAGAAAGATGAAGGACTAAAAACCACTTGCATGCTTAAGTGTTGTATTAAATGTAGGGCCGCAGATTTATCAGGCTTCTTTTGTTGCCTGATTTGATCTTTATGTATGTTAATCCACAACAAATGCAAGATAAAGCAATTTAATAGGAATTTGTTCCACACTAAATTAAATGGGGTGACATGACCTTGCATTTGTCATGTCTTAAATGTGTGCAGACAGACTCACTGGTGGGGCTCACCTGGTGCATGGTAATGTGGTGCATGTGAGCTCTCAATCCTGAGGGATTTTTGTGGGGAATTGATAGCAGAACCAGAAATTGAACACAGATTTTTCCTTCTCTCAATCCAGTGCCTTATAGTAGGGCAAAGTATTATATGTTGGGGGGATGATTTGTTTGTTTTTTAAAGCCAAGATGGTGTGGAGTTGGTCTTCCTACCAATCTTTTGAATAATTGTAAATGCCCAGTCACAATTTTAGACCTGTTTGAGTGCCAGTGACTTAGGGAATATTTGTTATTTCCCATGTATTCCCTGAAATTATTGTTCCTCCCTCAACTGCTGTCAGCAGTAAGGAATGACTTGAATAGAAGAGCTGTGTAACTGAATGTCTATCTAACTCAACTAATGAATTGCTAGTATGAAAGCTAACCTAGATTTTGTAGGCTCTGTTGTAACTTTAGTGTCTTGTTTTTTCACTAAATCTTTGTTCCTAGAAATCAGTATCTGAACTTATGTCTTGAGTCGGGAGTGGGGTACCACTTTCAGCTTTAATTTTTTTTAAGGTGCTTGCTTGAGGAAGTAGATGCCAAAGTAAACTTCAAAGGAACTCCAGACTTCAGTGTTGGAAGAATGAACAGAGAGCAAGAGCTCTCTTTGGGTTTCATGAGAGATAAATGGACAAAGTAAAAAAACAGCCACCAAAATTCTAAGTCATGAAACAGGACAGAAAACAAGAAAAGGCTTTTCTTTACCACCCACAAAAACAATCAGATATTTTCAATTGTTCAGCGTGGCAGAAACTCTGAGAGCAAGTGCCAAACAATCCCATGGAATGTGCTGACTTTTTCAGCATTATCATACCTTAACAGCATTATCAATATCCAAATGTAAATCAAGCCAGCTTTGTACTGTTCACCTTTTGCCTGGGCACAATACCTGAGGTTTAATGAACAGAACATAAGCTCACAGTGAATCTCTGAGCTTATGCTCTCAGTTCCACTCTGAGAGACAAAACAAATGAGCAAAGAGGGAAAAAAAAAAAAACAATAGGAAAACTTAAAACAGATTCTGGAAGATTCCAGTGTCTCCTGAGAGAGTCACGGTTCTTTATCCTGAACATCCTTTTCAAAACAAGATCCTTCAGCTGTTGTGAGTGAGCCTTTGGGAACAGATTTGGCTTCCAGCCCAGTGTGCTGCAGCTCCCTGTCCCTGTAAGAAGGCGGCGTGTCTGGAGCACTGGGCCTGGACCCGGAGGGAGGGAGGCAGGCACGGAGCAGGGATGCTCCTGGGATGAGCCACAGGTACTGCCACAGTCAGCAGCACCACACTGGAATGGTGTCCTCCTGCCTGCTCCCCTGACACCCTCACCCTCCTCACATCCCTGTGCCAGTGTGGTACCTACCCGGATGTGCCCAGCTCTGCAAATAACTGTGAGCTCTAAAACAAACCAGGGAACTATTTGGCTAAAAAGAAAAAAAACCCAACCACTTAAAAATAGTGATGTGACATAACTGCAGAGTGATGCAGAGCAGGAGCAGGAGCCCTGGCTGTGAGGGGTTGTGGTGATGGCTGGAATGGTTTTGGAATGTTAGTGGAAAACCACAGTTGTGAGCTCTGTGTAGTGGGCAGTGACTGCCTGTTTGTAAAGAATTAACACCCTGTGTCATCTCCAGCCTCTTCCTGTGTTTGGTTCCTGTCTGTAAAATGAGATGATGATAACCCTGGGATAAGGACGTGCCAGTATTTGATTGACATGCCAAATTGTGCTGCACAGTCGTGGTGCTGAACTCTGCTACAAATGTTTGGCCTCACTGACTTCAGGTGTAATGCAAAGTTAAACAAACATCTGGCTACATTTTCCCTGAAAGGTGAGATATTTAAATTCATTTAAAGGCTGCCTGGCACTATCGATCTGCTCTCAGGGTTAATGTGAATGAAGCTTTTCCTGGTACTACAATTTTGGAGACCTGGAGGTGCTCTGAGCTGAGATGTGCTGAAGGAAGGAGGTAACTGGTACCTTCACTGATGTTCCAGTGACCCCCTCCCACCTCCTGGTTTCCATGTGGAACCTACAGCCACTGGCAGCCAGAATTGCTCTTGAGCATCCTGCAGTCACACAGTGACCTTGGGTAAGTGACTTTACAATAAATCAGTCTCATGCTTGCTAACAGCTTTTTGGCTGCTGCGTCCACAAACTGGTGCCTTCTCCAGGCAATTTTTCCATACCCTCTGCAAAGCTGTCAGACTGACTGCTGGCTCTGGGGGAATCAACCAGGCCTTGCTCTTGGGCTCACAGTTGCTCTTCGGTACTGTTGTAATCTGAAAGTTTGCTGCAATTAGTGCAAATACCAGAGGGAGAAAATAAAAGGCTGTTCTCAGATGTCCTGTAGAGTGAACAACTGAAACATGAGTGTGGGATGAGCCAGGAAAACTGGCATTTTTCCCTGGCTGCACGCCATAGGGAAGAGACAGTGCCTTGGAAGGGAAGGAGCAGAAAAGTTTGCCATTGGCTCTGATGAATCCCAATCCTGCTTCTACTGAAGTTGTTGGGAATCCTCCCATTGTCTTCAGTGTGAGCAAGAAAGGATCTTAGGTGAGGATGGATGACTCTTTCCCTACTTGAATGAAGTCTCTTGCCTATTTATGGGCCTGCTTCTATTGAAACCGAGCCTGTTTTAGCCTTTTTGGGTTCTTAGGGACCTGTTTGTATAAAGCAACTTACCTACCTATCTTTTTTTTTTCTATTGTGTGTATTTTTTGTATGTTCTGTTGGAAGGTGAAGCCTCTGTAGAAGGGGATACAAAACCTGATTTTTAAATAGTAATAAACCAAAAGAGAATTAAACTCTGCAGGCTGCATGCATTCATTTCCTGGAGACGGAGAGTAGAGACCACGAGTGCACAGAGAGATGGGCTGTACTTCTCGTATCTCAAAATCTTCCTCTCTTCAGAGACAGTTCCTGCCTTTGCACATCTCCCCAGCTCTCTGTGAAAATCCATAATTGCAACACTGTGTTACCAGGATGGCCTTATTTTGACTAGAAAATCCTCTTTCTGACACTGTGCAATGAGATTTCTTGTTTCAGCATAAGTGGATGGAGTAACAAGTATCTGTGAAATTCAGTATTGTCCTCACTGAATGGCAGTGAAATAAAACCAAGACAGGATATATAAATATATTTTTGCTTCTGGCCTGCCTATCTCAGGTGCTGGGGCATTGTCCAGTGCACAGTGTTCTAACTCCACACCATTATAATCTAAAGAAATAAGTGTGCAAGTATTAGGTGAAACTTTACTAAGCCTTTGTTCCTTCCTGGCTTTTTACCTCCTTATGTTTTTGCCAGCTGGAGCTCTGACTTTCTAAAAGAGAAACCAAAAAGACCAAAATAACAACAGAATTTTCCCCTGTTCTGTAAACATACTTAGGGAACAGAGCATTTGCTTTTGTAAATAGATGTAAAACAGTCCACGTGCATATGTCAGTCATGAAAAAGGCTATCTCTGCATGCCTATGGCATGTGTGTGACCCAGAGAAAATACAGAGGTTTGCCTTTCCACACAGGAAAGAAAGGGCAACTTCCCAAAATAACTCCTCCAGCAGCCTTCAGGCAAACACCTGTGGAGGGAGGTCTCACAGTACCTGTGTGCCAATGGTTTTATCTGCTTTCAGGTCACCTAAGAAAACAAAATCCAGAGGTGAGAGCTCTGCATTGTAAATGTCTGTGAATCCTGCTCCTTATGAGGAAGAAATAATAGCTTTGCTGCAAGGTTTGGTCTCTGCTTCTCTGCTCACGTGTTGAGTTACAAAGGAGAGCCATTACAAAATGAGTCTCTGCTTCTGCTCTTCCATTATGACTCCAGTCCTTGTCCCTAAACCCCAGAGAGATAAGAAAACATGTGTTTGGGGGTTTTTTATGTGTGCAAGTTTATAATCTTACTGCCTTTCTGTTGGCTTGGAATATGGATCACTTGCTTATGAGTGCCTGTGCTATTTGGACATGGTGTATTTTCTACAGGAACTGGGAGTTTTGCATATTTAAGTGCAACTCTAACCTCATGCTTTCCACAATGGAATCTAACTCCTACTTTGATAATATTCCATGATTATTGAAGTTTAAACATAAGATTTTTGAGCTATCACCTCTGTTTGACTGTGGAATCGGACTCCATGGTAAGGGAAACGTTGGTATAAATATATTTAATAATCCAATTCACTGGAGGTTAATTTGAATAGATATCAGAACAGAAATCTTTATTCCTTTTGACTCAAATCTCCAGATGTTTTGGTGCTCTGTTTTTATGTTTCTCATGTGCAAGATAAACCATTATTTTTAGAAAGGCATTTTCTAACAAGAGTGAATGTTGGTTTATCAGACTGCTTAGCTTTGCCAGGTACTGCTGGGCACAGCAGTGGATTGAGAAACAAGAAAGCTACAAAGTTACTTTTATACCTTAAAAAACAACTAAACAACACATTTTTCTTCCTGCATTAAAGCTTGTTTGTAGTTTTCATCTAAGTCAGGACTACACATGTAGAACTTGAGAACATCTCAGATCCTTGCATCCATATCCATCTTCTGGATGGATACCATTTCATAGAATACCATTTCATAAGGTAGGTATTGCGTGTCTGAGGCTTTCAAGGACTTTGCAGACATTTAATCATTTCTGCCTCTGTGACATAAGTAGTATTAACATGAGAAACCAAAGCAGAAGCTTGCCTAAGGTCAAGCAAAGATCAGTTAAAGAATTTAGACCAAGGCTCCTGTTCTTGGCTCAGACCTATGTGTTCTCTGAGTAGATCACAGTATCTTTCAAAATAGCTTCCCTTCCTCCACCCTTAAAAATGCGGTCTCTGTTTTTTGTCAATAACAGCCTGCATCTGGGAGAAAAACCAAACCAATCAAACAAACAAAACCCAGCAAAACCCAGTGCAACTGGGGACTGAAACACGGTTAGACAGCTGTACCTAATTCCTAAAATCATTGCTACGGTTTTATGGTATCCTGCTAGGAGACACCCCCGTTGGATGGCAGGTAGAGCCGTGTCTGTGATCCAGGCACCGGGATCGGGACACTGCAGCTGGGAAAAGAGCTGAGGGCCGTGATCCACGGGGAGTCCTTCACAGCTGCCACAGTGGGCCAGTGTGAACACAATGTCTGTGGGCACTTGGGCCCTTCAAACCCACTGAGAAGAGCTGTGGAAAGGCACTGGGCAGTTTGTGACAAAAAGGACAAAGAAATGTTGCTGTTGGAGAGGGGGGTGTGTGAATTTCTGAAGTCAGCGAGTGTTTAGTGCTAATCTCTTAATGATGGCAAAGGGGAGCTTCGGTGCTTCTCCCCAGTAAACAATAGGCCCCACAATGCCCTCCCGAGGCCTCTGTCCTTTTAGGACAGCCCACACAGAAAGCACATCTGAGAAAGCACTCGGAGTTAGTGGAGCAAACCCTGAACCAGTCTGAACCAGTTCAAATATCGCATATGGTTGTTTTGCTTCTGCAGACTTCCTTGTTAGTCCTTGGAGGCTGTGGCTGGCATTTACTGAGCAATAGCTCATGCTGTCAGACTGAAGGGGGAGGGAAAGCCTCTCCTTGAGCGTGTCAGCAGGGCCATGCAACAGTGCCATTGGATATTCCTGCCCCTCCACGCCGACTCCTTTGTAGTCACTGTCTCTGTCTTGATTTTTGGTTATAGTCGGCTCAGTTTCATAAACTCGACATCTGATCCTTTTGTTGCAGCCCTGATGCTTTTTTCTTAAATTCAAATTGTTTCTAGGTTAGAAATGAAACATATTTGTTTACAACTCCTACATCATTGCTTACAGAAGGCTTTTTACAGGTGAGACCCACTGTCATTTTCATGACCAAGACAGAGGCAACAAAGGAATAAAAACCCCTGCTTTTGTTGGAGTTGAAATAGTGTTTAGTGACAATTGATGCTTTAAGCACAAATTGCTCTAAAAATCTCTTCACGGTAGGCGAGGTCTCAGGATGTACTTTATTCTTGAGCATTGCCATTTATGAAGGAAGTGGAAAATGGTTTAGAAAAACAAGTTTTGAGGAAAAATTGGAACAATTATTTTGGTTGCCTAGGAATAAGAAAGGGGAGCTTATGGGAACATGACATATGTTCTGTTACAAGGAGGGCAGTGGTCAACTTTTTCCATTTTAAGCATTCCTTGTTAATTTGGCTAGGAAAGACTACTCAGATTAGAAAACTCATTTTGCCTACTCTCCCCAGTGTCTTATTTGGTAAGATTAAGTAATAAAGCATGTTAGTTCTTGCATAGGAGGTTAGATGAACTTTTGCCCAGGAAGATCTGAAGGCACTTGGCTATGGCCAGAGAAGGAGGTGGGTTTGATGGGTTCTTGCAGAGTCATTCCAGAGCTGTACCTCTGTGGCTGCCTCCCTTGGCACAGCATGTTGGGCTATATGTGAGATTCATTTTATTTTTCTTTTTTTTCTTTAAGAAAAGTCTCAATACACTTTGAATTTTTCCACAGGTGAAAAAGTAGAACAAACAAACAAGAAAGAGCAGCTGACAGACAGGAGAGAGAGAAAGCAGACATTGTTCATTCTGGAACCTGTATAAAGTAAACAGCAAAAAGGTACCAGCTCACAGCTGAAACTGGTTCACACTGAGTTTAGGGAGGATGGATGTTTGTGGATGTGGGCATGTGCTGTGATACATGTATGTGGATACACCTACAGAATTCTACATGTAAACTGTGTGAGAATGTAGCTGCACAGCTATTAGATTACTTGTAGTTTGGGTAGTTTAAAATCAAGTCCTGGGAAATAATGTCACATTTAATCTCTAAAAGTGTAGCAAGAAAAGCAAACCCATTCCCAAGCAGCAGAAAGAGCAATTGAGTCTGCCTTTGACAGCTGCCACCTGGCATCCTATTAAACTTAACTCTATGAAACTGCCAGGCATAAATCTTTCCTCATCCTGGAGAAAGCTAGAGATGAAAGAAAAAATTATGCTTAGAAGTCAGTCGTGGAAAAGACTTTGATCTTTACCATTAATGTGAAGGTTTTTGCATTTCTCCCAGATTCCCCATTGTCCTTCTGTGGACTAGAAACTCAAATTGTTTTCTGGAACTTGGCTGGGCGTAATGAGAAGTGCAAATTTATCTTGTTACATAGCAGGAGAGCAGGGAAGGTCTGAGATTTGTTTCCACAGAGATTAGTGCAGTTCCTGGATCAGTATGTACAGGAGGAGGTGCTTTCTGTGCTAGATGGAATGGAAGCATTAGTTAGTCTCATGAAGTGAGCAAAAAGAAATTAATTGTGCAGGTTGGCAGCCCTCTGCAAACTGTTTTGGACAGGCAGTGCCTCTGGATGCATATGTGGCCCTGCAGTTTCTGCTGAATGGAATCTGTCCCGTAAAATCTGTGATGAAGAGCTATTACAAACAGAAGGCTTGATTCAATAGCCCCTATTAACAATTCTTGCTGACTCCAGTTAGCCTTGCCTTCACAGAGAGTAACTGGAGAGCACCAGGAATGCAGTAACGGGGTGTCTGTGCAGACAATGAGCATAATGCCACAAAGGAGGAATCTTAGCTGGGGATGGCAGTCAGGACTGACACACACAGTTGGGTTTTGGTTTATTGGTTTTCTGCAACCTGGCTGAGGTTTTTTAATCCGACATTATTAAACTAAATTTTCTGTAGTGGTAAGTCATATTGTTAAAGCATGAATCACACACGAGTGTGCTGAGGCCTATGGTCTCATACTCAGTAGTAGTTTTCCTCATCTACCCATCTGTCATGCTGGTATGTATGTGTTTTTGTGGCTCCCTTGGGGACTGGATGCAGCAGGTAACCTGGTTGTAAAGAGGTTAAAGTGTTCGTGACCTGGTGAAAAAGGGGGAAAAAGTTGGGTTGGATCAGCACCTTGAGCCAGCTCGTCACACAAGTACCTATAGCAGCCTGAGAGAGCCCTGCCAGGATGGAAACATCTGGGAGTGGAAGGGAAAGGCCACTGCTCCAAAGAGTGATTCATAAAACACTGAATACAACATGCACCTTCCTGGCATAGAAATACTTTTTATGTGTTCAGTGTTTTCCATATGAGTTCAAAGCACTTTAAAAGAAAGGAACTTCCCTGTCCTCTTCTGAGAAGGGAGGTTTGATTGTACCTCATGTAACAGAAAGGAAGGGAAAGCGCAAAGAAGTGAGGCAAGCAGGCAGATTGGCCAAGGTCAGGAGAAACTCTGTGGGAAAGCCAGAAATAGCACCTTGTGCTGCAGGCCTGTGCCTTGGCTACAAACCCATCAGTTGGCCCAGGCTGCCTTTGCGAGCTCATTGTCAAACAGGACCAAGTATTCAGTGGCTTGTTTTTCACTGGTGTAAAATAGAAGCATTGCTGAGGACTCCAGATGCTTGTGTACAGTCACTGGTGTGTTCAGGAACAGAAGTATCTATTGTAACCCATTTGAAATGTCTGCAGAGAGGCTTTATCACAGTGGCTGGCTGCCTGCAGTAGAACTGCTCTAAGGCATTTTAATGCTGTTTATCTTGCTTTTTCTATAAGCAAGCACAGCTCTTAGGGGATGTGGAGTCAAAGGAAAGCAATGGATTAGCAGAAGTGAGAATGTAAACCTTTAAGGTGGAGGTGCAGTGTGTAGGGTAGAGACCAGTTTTAAGTGCCTTAAGACAAACACTTTCCCTGCCACAGGCAGCGGTTCAAGCGTAGTTCCGTGTGGGAAGTCTCTTCTGGCCCAAGACTTTCCTGCGACTGTCATAGACGAGCCGAGGGACGCGGAGCTGCGCCTCGGCAGCGCTTCCCCGCGTCCCTGCCGAGCCCAGCAGCCCCGTGGTGCCGAGCACCCACCGCAGCGCTCGGTGCCGGGCGAGGACCCTGTGCGGCCGCGGGGGAGCGGCTGCAGGTTGCCGGCCGGCCCGAGCCCTGCCCCGCGGCGGCCGCCCCTTCCCCTCCCGGGGGCGGGCGGCGGCGGCGGCAGCGTTAGGACCCGGCGGCGGCTGCGGGGCGGGGGGGGAAGCGCAGCCCGGCGGTTGTTTACTGGGGAGCGCCGGAGCAGGGCTCGCCGAGCTGCGCGGCCGGGCTGGCGGCGGCTCCGAGGATGCTGCCCGGGGCCCCGCGGCGGGCGCTGGGCGCTGCGCTGCTGCTGGGCTCGCTGCTGCTGCTGCCGCTGCCGCCGGCCGCCCGCGGCGCCGAGGGTGAGTGTGAGCGGCGGCCCTTTGTGGGGGACAAAGGCCGGGCTGGGGAAGGGGGAAGACCCCCGTGGGGGAGGCGGGGGCCGGGCTGGGGGCGGCGGTGGCCGGCCCCCCGCACGGCTCGGCTCGGCTGGTCTCTCCGCAGAGTGCCTCCGCGGCAACGGTGCGTCCTACCGCGGCACCCGCCGAGTGGCCTCCGGCGGCGCCCCGTGCCTCAACTGGCTGAGCGTGCGGAGCCCCGCGCTGCCGGCAGGTGGGTCCGGGCCCGGGGGAGGCGGACAGGGGGGTCCCGGGGGTGAGGCGGCCGCGCTGACGGCCCCGCTGCCCCCCAGCAGTCAGCGAGGACCACAACAGCTGCAGGAACCCGGACGGCGCCGCCGCGCCCTGGTGCTTCGTCCGAAACGCTGCCGGAGACCCCGAGCGGAGACCCTGCGACATCGCCCCGTGCTCAGGTAAGAGCGGCCCCCGCCGGCCCCCCCCTGCCCTGCCCGGGCAGCCCCTGCCGCGGGGGGCTGGGTTCGTCGCCAGGGTGGGGTCCCCCCTGCGCACAAACAACCCCGGGCTACGCCAGCACCTCCCTCGGGAACGCGGCGTACCCAGGGCTCCCCTCCAGCCTTCCCCCGTGTGTGCACATCTGCCTCCCAGCTGTGCCTTGCTCCGCCCCTACAGCTTTTCCATTAGTGCCAGAAAAGGCCTGTGGAAAGCCCCCACTCCTCCATATTTCACTAATCACCATAGGGCTCTTTAGCTGTGTTGCAAAAGGGCATCTAAGAACTGCAGAGGTGTTGGGAGAGTCTTACTCTGGGGCATGTTACAGCTGACTAAAGAAGCTTCCTGCTGCTAAACGATTCCTGGTGGGAATTTGAATACAGGTGGGGGAAAGAACTTGGAAAAAATAAGAATTTTAAGGGAGGACACGAAGAAATGGAAAACCCCAAACACTGGATTCCTCCTGGATAGTCACAGTGGGAACAGTTTACCAAAAGAACCATAGCTGAAGCCTGATTCAGGGAGAGGAGATGTCAGTGTTGACTGACGCCAGAGCAGCCACTTGGGGCTTTTTGAACTGTTTACTGATTTCTGAGTCCTGCAGGATTTACGCACTCACTGTCCCTTGAGATTGCTGTCCTCGTGTGTAGATACTTTTCCCACACATGAACACCCTCCCCTTTTCTTCACTTTTCTCTTTTTTTGCATGCTTTTCCCTAAAGATGGAGCAAAACAAATGTTCTGCTGCAAAGAGCCTTACTCAAAACAGTCCTGCAGCTTTGGGATCAGGAGAGTTACCTGCCCTTTTGGCAATTTGTGTGTCTAATGGGTTTGACTATTTTTGTGCCTCGGCACCTTTCTGTGTCCCAACAGCTCCCTTTAGTTCAGCTTCCCTGGCTGACCGTACCTGAAGTTACTGTGCAGTGCAGGAGACTCTGCTTTCCTGTCTCTAATCCCCCTTCTGTACTTCCATTTCACATTCCACTGAGGCCTCAAAATGGCTGCAGAGAGAAAATCCACAGGGAGTTATTGCCAGCTGTGGGGCAAGATCCAGGTGGAGAGAGTTTTCAGGCGTGGATGTATACTGTGCACAGCATTTCCAAAAAGTAGGGGTTTTCCTGTAGAGCAGGTAATAGATACCTACTCTACACTATCACAGCTTCTGGTGTGCTATAGCTTCCATTTGAACTGTATCATGAAAGAAGGTGCTACCTTGAAAATCTTTCAATGCTGTTGATAAAAACCAGCAGTGATAAAAAACAGGGCTGGGAAGGGTCCTGTGCTCTGAGTGTCCATCCTTGGGTGCCTTTGGGCTCTGGCAGAGCAGGAACTTGCTGTCCTCACACTCATCAGTGGCTGTGCTGCCTGGAGGGCTGCTCTGACTTAGCCTGTCCAACATACTAAAGGAGTTTGCTACTCCGCTGCAAAGAGGGGCTGGGGGAGAAGAATATCCCCACGTAGTTTTCACACCAGCTGGAGTCTCCTTCTCTCAGACTTTCCTGTGTCAGGAAGACTGAGGCAGAAGAGAGATAAATAGGCTCCTGGGAGATCTGGGATGGAGATTCTTATAATCTTGTTCACGTCTGTTCAGCATGATTGAAGCTGCAGCCTGTGTATCGATCTATACATTAAATGAAGTCATTGTGCATCCTCTGGACTCGTGCCCTGAACCTGGGTTTCGTTCTGCTGTCTGATTTCTCTCTCATCTGTGGTGGTGCCTTGGACTCTTAGTTAAATGGTTTCATGTCAAAGGAAAGTGGGGGGAGGAGAGTACATTTCTTGTCTACTTTGGGAGAATTTCTGGCAATAACTTAAGAGGGAACAAACACGTTGTTTTGAAGTACTCATCAGTGCTTGGTATGTTGTATATATATTTTTTTCCTCTCAACAGACGCTACAGCTGCCACAGCCCCAGTCCCTACAGCAGAGGTTGGTGCTTCTCAGGAGGATGAGCAGGTGTTTGAACCAGCTGATACGTTGCCCTCCCGGAGCGAGGCAGCCGCAGTGCAGCCCGTCATTGGGATCAGTCAGAGAGTGCAGATGAACTCCAAAGAAAAGAAGGACTTAGGGACACTAGGTATGAGCCCAGGATCATGTGCTGGATCCATTCTTGTAGTTCTGGCAGGATGGATTTGTTTTGAAGCTCTAAAAGGTACTGCCTCTAATTTTGTCTCTTTTTTTTTCTTTTTGCAGGGTATGTGCTGGGGCTGATCATGATGGTGATAATCATTGCCATCGGAGCTGGCATTGTCCTGGGATACATCTATAAGAGGTGAGTGGCTGTTCTTATTTGTCCTGAAGCAGGAGTGTCTGAGCACCTGCAGACCTAATCAGATCCCAAGAAAAAGAGCCAGAAGCGTATGTTTGGTTGTGGAACATTGAGCAAGAGTTTTGTTTGTGCCACTAAGGAAAGAACTATTGAAGAGTCAATCCCATTCTCCATTTCACCCATCAGTGTGGTGTTCTGTCCCATTTAAAGTTTCAAATTGCCCTCTATATTCTTTGCTTTTTTGTGTGTGCATATGTGCCTTGATGTGGCTTCCTCAGATGTGTTGTGGGGAGCTGGAATTTATGCAAGAGCTGGAGAGAGCAGATCCCAGGTGCCCTCTGTGATCAGAAAAAGAACAATCCTTCTAGCAGGCCACCTGTTTCCCTGTTTTCTCTAGTCTAGCTTTAGAAGAAAAACAGTTGGCAATTTTTTTTGCCGCTCATGCATTGTATCCTATGAAGCTGAATACCAACTAGCACTTCTTTTTGGTCAAAGTTCATTTTACCAAAGCTCCTGTGTACTTTAAGATCAGTTTTCATTCATACTTCAGTTACTGTTTTTTCATCCACCGTGTTGGATGAAAATGTTTCTGTAGCTCAGCAGCCTTTGAGGGAAGTGGCAGCAGCAGCTTAGTTGTAAGAGAGAGGGCAGGATTAACAAATAGCAGTGATTGTCGCTGCAGCAGGCGAGGGCCCAGGCTCCCTCCTCTGGGAGGGTTGGTTCTGTGTTTTGGCTGTTTGACAGCAGTCTGACACAACCAAGCAGAAGGAGCCCTTTCCCAAGCTGGGACATGTCCTTATGTAAGTGTTTATAATAAATGCCGACAGAAAAAAAACAGAGGGAGGAGTGTTACATAAGGGGCAAAACACAGAGCGCTGCTTGTCGAGGAATCTGATTTGAGGTGTCACGTCAGAGAATGCTGTCTTGTGTGCTGGCAGGGACGGCAGCTGCTGCTGCACACTCGTAGGCAGCTTTGAAAAGCAGCCAAAATGCTGACAGGAAACCCCAGCAGCTCTGCCTGGCTGGGATCACGAGCCCCGGGAGGAGCTCCCTCTGTGCCTGTCCCACCTCGCCGCCCTCCTTGGCGGGAAGAAGCAGGAGACCAATGTTGGACTTTGTCCAAATGCAGCTTTGCTTCTCCAGCCACAGATTGCTTACAGCAGGGCTGCAGTGCAGGTTTACTGTCTCCCTCCTTGCCTTGATCTCAAAATTGCATGTGCAAGCTGGCAGGTTTGGGTAGGTGTGGTGAGAAACCTTTAATGGGTTTAGTAGCTTTGGGTATACAGAGCTTTTCTGGAGACAACATGCTATTAATGCCAAATCCATTTTTAAAGTAAGGCTGCTCTTCCTCAGCACAAATTACAGAGGTGTTCCTTCCCTTAGCAACAGGCAGGAGGCTGAGGTAGGTTTGGGAGCTGGTTGTGGAGTTAGGCTTTAGCTGCAGCAGCAGAAGGCAGGGCCAGCTCTGAAGTCAGCTTTAATACTTTCAGGGACAGCTTAATTTGCTGCAACAAAAAGCAGAAGCTGTCACCACCTCCAGTATTTGTTTCAGATGAAGCAGGTTACAGAAGCCCTTCTCTACAGCAGTGGGCTCTGCACTGTCTCACTGCTCCCCTGGGCCTGCACCAGGCAGTGCTGGGGGACTGTAAGGGATGAGGAAACATATGGCAGCTCCGTGGTTTGGAGGGGAGGCCTGGCTTTACAGTCATCATTTAGCAGCAGCAATGTCAGTGAATAAGCCAGTTGGAGGGAGGGACAGACTTCACTTGGCTGCTTGTTTTTTAAAGATGCTCAGCTGGGGTCCTCTGCTTACAGTAGGGAATATATCTGGCACTTTTTTAGTAGCTGAAAGAGCTGTTTATCTTACAGTAGAGAAGAGGGGACTCTGCTCTTTATCACCTTTACTGAGACTCTGCTTCCAGGCAGTGGCACTCACCTCATGCATGCTTTTTTTTTTATTTTAATGTAGGGGGAAAGACCTGAAGGAGAAGCACGAGCAGAAGGTTTACGAGCGGGAGATGCAGCGCATCACGCTGCCCCTGTCCGCCTTCACCAACCCCGCCTGCGAGCTGGTGGAGGAGAACACCATCGTGGTGCACACCACCCAGACCCCCGTGGAGGACACGGGCAGCGGCCCCCTCATGGGGCAGGCGGGGACTCCTGGTGCCTGAGTGGCTCGGGCAGGACATGCAGGCTGAGCAAAGCCTCCAGCTTCCCACTGTGAGTGCAGGGGGTGCGTGTGTTCATTTCTGTTTTGTTTTCTTTTCGATGAACGCCGGCTGAGGGTGACGCAGAGGAGCAGAGCAATGGGCTATTCATCACCATCTGTTGGAGGGGCACCATTCAGTGCAGGACTGCCTGGGGACTGGTGTGGTGGACCCTGCTGCTTCCTCCCACCTATCTCCATGGTGTGCCAAGGAGCTGGGGGGGATGATGAGCCAGGCTCACGACTGGCCAGAGATCCCATAGCCCAGAGTGTGGTCTTGGCTTCCTCTTTTTCTGTTCCTTTCCTATTTAATGGTGTGCACTGTTTCTTAAGTTTCAGCCTGGAACCCCAGGAGGGAGCAGTACTGCAGGGACTGAGGGGAGCTTCATGTCAGACTTAGCTACATAATTACACTCTGATTATAGTTCCTGCCTTTTTGCTTTAGTAGCTGAGAGCTGGAAACACTGTCCAGAATCCTGCTACTGGATCAGGTTTTTTTTTCCAAGGAAGAGTTTATTTGAGGGATGTCTTTGGCCAGGAGCAGTGTGTTTAGCCCCAGTGTCAGTTTGGAAAAGCTCTCCTCTAGCTCTTGACAAATCCAGGTCTTCCAGGGCTGAGGCCACATCTCCATTCCCCTGTGGTGCTACATGCACAGCCACAGTTGTAGGTGTCCAGGTGGTCTGTACGTGCCTCCTGCTCACTTATACAGATCAGGAGACCAAGGGCCAGCAGTAGATAGTTGTGAAGAAAACGAACTGCCCTTCAGTTACTTAAAACAGGTTAAACACTGAGGATAGATAACATCCTCTCTGGAATTCCCTTGGCTTCCTACAGAGCCAGTGCTGAACAGAGTGGCCAAGCTGTGGTCACCCAGATCACAATGCAGCAGCTCTGGCTCCAAGGGCAGGACAGGGCAGTTGTTTTGTAAGATCCTGAAGTCATGGCGTGGCTCCTGGCCCAGCCTCTGCCACACACACTCAGCTTGTGCAGCAAGACTACTTACAGAGCGTGGCCCTATTAGAGAGGTTTTGTAACAACTTTTATTAGCATTTCAGGGGGGTTGGAAGGGATGGTTGCTGCAGTGTCTCCCAAGTGGCACCAAGGCAAGGCCAGTTCAGGGAAACACCCGTCCCCACCTCAGGGGATTCAAGCCATTCAAGTAAGTTTTCTAGCCATCTGCTTTATAGCTGTGGGCCTAACAGGGAGCAGCACTTGGCAGCAGGGGTTTTAGTGTTAATGTTTGATTCAGAAAAGGGAAATGTTTTATTTTTAAATGCCTTTGAATACCATTTCTTTGTAAAATGTTTTAAATACCTCATTATGAGAAGGTGCAGACTGTGCTACCTTGTATTAAAGCTTAAAAGAAAAATGCTCTGTAGACCTGTGTGGACTGTGGCTCATCTCTGCATTCCCCTGCCAGAGCAGCACCCTTCGGCTTGTTGCAGATTGAGCTGAGGAGAAAGGAAGATGCCACTTCAGTTTGCCAGGCCCAAAAGTAAATCCCTACAAGCAGTGCCTTCCCTCACCAGCAGACACGGGGCATGGAGCTTGTCTCCTTGCTGCCAGCAGCTGGTCTTTGGACTGGGACACTGTTCCTGAAAAGCAGCTGGTGACTCAGCAGCCTGGCCCGTGGGAAGACACTCGTGGTTACAGCCCCTTCCTGACTGACACGGGTCAGTTCTGCTTTGGTGCTGCTCAGCAGCAGCTCCTTCCCTTGGGAAGCACGATGGAGACGGAGCACAGTGCGTTCCAGGAGGCACTGACAGAGCATTTTTGTTCAGTTGTTGTCTTAACAAATGCCCCTTGGACTACATATTTCAGAATAAGATGTTTCCAAGAACAGGCTGTATTTTTATCCCTGCACTAGAAAAGGAAAACATAAGGAGGCTCCATGTTCTGCTGACTCCTGTCCACCCTTAAAAACCAACCAACCAATGAACAGAACTGAACAACTTCTCCAGGTAAATAGTCCTACAGAGCCCTTGCACTGTGACTCTGCAGTTCTTGGGTGTTTGAGATGGTACCTCACCTGGGCAGTTTTGATGTTGCCATGTTGTGACTACAAATGAAACCCGAGAAAGTTACAGCTTCCGGCTTTATTGAACACAAAGACCACAAAATCTCGTTCTTACAGCATTCACTTACTGCTTTTTAATTTAGAGCGTGGAGCTGTGCAAATCACAGTTCATAAACCCCACCCACACATCACCCAGGACTCTCCCCTTCAGGAGTCCCCTCACAAACCAGCCTGGGAGGGGGAATGAAAGGGCAAATCCTATTAATAATGCTGAATCCACTGGACCCAGTTTAGTGAGGCTCCTCCACTGACTCACAGCACAGGGAGTCCCCAGTGTTTCTAAAACACCACTACATAGACTAAAAACACCCCCCCTTGCACATCTGTTGTCATGTGATGGCTGGTCCCATGTTTTTTTACATAATACTTTAAACTCATGGGTAGGGGGAGAAAATCAAAGTAACAGCAAAGACTAACACTCATTCCCCACCATTCAATGCTGAAGGGAGGAGGGGGGAAAAAGGAGCACACTAGAAATCCAGTTAAGAGCAGGACTTGATCCAGCTTTCGGTTCAGTTCTGCCAACCACATGAGCTACCGCAGCGGTAGCTTTATTTCCTCTCCCACTAAGGGAGGAAGAGAAGTACTGGAAGAAAATACACCCCCACCTACCTCCCAATGACTCCAAGCCCTTTTTTCTCCCCCAAAGCAGGGAATGACCCTGAGGAAAGTTTCTGCTTGGAGAATCAGTTCAGGTGCTGCAGCAGCAGCTGCAAGAAGGACCTTCAAAGGGAGCAACTTGCACAGTCTGCAGGAAAGGATGAGGTAATGGCAACTGAATTACTTGTTCTCCAGCTGCCACTCCAGGGAGGATGGGACATTCTCCAGCACTTCTCTGTTCATGACGAGTCCATCCTTTAAGTAACCTTGGGCAAGTCCCCCGTTGCTGTTGTCCATGCACAAGGTCTGAGCCACTTCAAACCTTTGGCTTTCGGACGAGCACCTTCTGCCGCCCTTTCTGTCACTCACGTCCACAGGCCGGGAGCTCAAGCAGCTTCAGCACTCCAGGAATGTCCCCAGCCAGTGCCTAGTGCGGTTCTACATGTTCAGGTTCAAACACCTTCACCTGGGTTAAAGTTTGGGGCGGGCAAAATCACTGCAGGCGTGGGGTCTGAAGATGCCCCAGTGGCTCATTTGCTGCCAGCCTCATTCACCATCAGGAGGGGCAAGCAGAGCTCAGTCTTAGTGTTTCTAGGCAGGCTTTTGGAGGTATTCTGAGACAGGGAAGAAAACCACAAAACCAAAACAAAAATTCATACATGCTTCCCCAGAGACAAGGTATTTCAGGAGAGCTGCCCAGTTCCTGGGGCTTTTCACTCTCTCCCTGATGCACATGGGAGGTCAGCATCTCAGTGAGTTGTTCTGGGAAACACATGCACAAACATACACACATGTGCTGTCCTGGTGGGGCATTTTGCTGGATGTCCAATTTTCCCAGCTTTCTGAGCAGGGCAGTCAGTGGGAGAAGCAGTTCCAGAAGTGCTGGTCCTTACCCAGGAGAGTCTCCTATAGCAATTCCACCCCTGGCAGACAGGCCAGGGTGGCTTCACAGCTTGCAGCCAAGTTCTAAGGCACCACAGTAAAGAAGCCTGAAAAGGCCAGAGAAACATTTCTCAAGCCAGAAAAATAGTGTTGAGCAGCTTTCCTAGGTGCAGTTGGCAGGAAACAGCCCTTTTTGCTTCTGAAACACGCCAGAAATCCACAGTGAATCAGGATGTCCAAGAGGAGGGGCACTGGGTGGGGAGAGAGAGGCAATGCAGCAAATGCACAGCGTGGTGCCCCGTTAATGCCCTGGAAGTGGCTGAAGTGCATCTCCCTCCCTGACACTCATCCCAGCTCCAATGGAAGTGATGCAGGCAGCAGGAAGAGCGGACTAGGTGGTGTTCTCAGGTAGCTTGTCCCGGTTCAGTCCATACTGCACACTCACATTGTGGTCCAGCTCCTCCAGCTCAGAGGGAAGGGGGATGGCAAGTTCTCCAAGGTAGAGAGAGAGAGCTTCAAAGGAATCTTCCAGCTTGGAAAAAGGGGGCCTAGAAGCAGCAGTGAGGAAATGTGAGTGGGGAAGAGGAAGAATAACAGCATCTGGAAAGGCTGAGCCCGTTGTCCTTCCAGACCACTCTGCCATGTACTAAGCTGTGTGCAGGGACATGATTCCCTCCCCATTCGGCTTCCAAGACTGCAAAGCCCCATTTTTACAGCCAGTGATCAGGCTCTGGCTCTTTGGAACCCACTTGGCATCAACACTGTTCTGAATCTACAAGTTTCACAACTGAAATCAATTGAAGTATTCACCCTGCTGCCAAGGCCTGCCCCTACTTTTGGTACCTGAGGAGCCCCAAACAATCACTGCTCCTCCTCTGTGCTCTCTGTCTTGGAATTGTTTGAGAGATCTCCACCATATACAGTGGCCTGTCTGCCAAACTGATGAGTCTTAATTCTCTCCACACACGGATGCCTTTGAGCATTCCCACAGAAGGTTGGAACTGCCCTCTGTGCAGAGCAACCTTTCCACCATGGGGATACAGACGCAATCCTGCAGGCTTACAAGGAGGAGGAGCCCTCCAGACCCCAAACCTACCTGCTCTCTGGCTCCAGTCTGCAGCAAATAGCAGCCAGAGGGAAAAAGGCTGGAGGACAGTCAGCAGGAACAAACTTCTCCCAGAACAGCTTGACATTAAGGCCAAAATCCAGTGTGCGTGGGAGACAGTCTGGGTCAGCATAAACCTGGCCTATGATCTAGGGAAAAATGAGAGAAGCACTTCAGTACTGCAACAGGTCCAGAGTGTTAACAGAGAACTTCAGCATCAAGCAGGGGCTCCTTCAAACTATTATGGTGGAAGGGAAAGAACAGAAACATTGTTCCTCCTTTCCAATGGAGCCACTGGAGGCCCAGACCCCTTCTCCTTCTGCCCAGGGTCTCTCTGCCAGAAGACACAGGATGATGTGCCCCTCCAGGGAGTCTCACTGCTGGAGATGATGCAGCCCCTCATGACTGCAGGTGATCAACAGACCCTGCACCACCATTCCACCCCCCAGAACTCACCACCTCCAGCACGAGGGCATTCACAGTGTACTAGAGGGAAGGAGCCCAGAGCAGAGCTCTGGGGTGATCTGGACTCACAAGGTCAGTGTCAATACAAACTTTCACATGGACAGAGCATTAGGTTTAAAGCCTCATCCGCTATCACAAAAAGGGTGTTATTTATACCCACTCAGGCTTTTCTATGCCAATAACTCACAGCAGGGCAACCACATCCTGTAACGAGACAGTGGCACACCCAGTATGTGTTTTGGCAGGGTTATTTCCTTATCTGAGTGTAGGGCTTTTTTTTTTTTTTTTAGCATTGTTGTTTTGGGGACAAAGAAAACGTTCATGTGCTCCTACCCCTTTATTTGTCTTTTTTTTTCCTGAATGAAACAATTGTTTTAATCCCACATACAGATTTTTCAAGTTCCTAAATCTATCACTCACAACCACAACATTCTCTGAGAGGAGGGCCCAGTGTAAACAGAGCTCCAGATGAGGCCACAAAGATTTATGCACAGACATTGCTTTGTCCCCTTCATCCAAACGCTGAAGATGAAACTGTGCTGGCATCCCCTGGTGTTCCTGTAACTGCTGCGTCACACATAACACCCTGCCTTTCATCTGTATTTCCACTGCCATACACACCTTTTAAATTGAAAATACCTCGTGGCTTTCAAGTGGTGCTTATTGTTCTGCAGACAGAAAACCTGATGGAACAGTCAAAATGTGCATTGGCTCAGAGATAAACTAAGCCCACAGACTTCAGGGGGCAGCTTCATTAATCGACCTGCAAAGAGGTTTCTGCTTCCCTTCCTTTGAAGTGAAATGCCATCCCCAGTGGAGGCTCTGAATTTGCTGAGATTATGCAGATGATTGTTCTCTCAATGAGGCAGTAGAAAAAGAAAAAAAGTATCACAGTTCTGGGGAATACTTTCAAATGGATACCAGGGCTCAGTCAGAACTTGATGACTTTTTTACAGCTTCTCTCAGTCCAGGAGGAACCTCTACACTTCTTTCAGTCCAGGAAGAAACTGGGACCAAAAAACTACAAGACAGTTCTCTCCCTTGAGGAAACAGAGGCAGGATACACTTGTTCTCCCAGTCTAATTCACTGATAATGTGCTGTGAGGTCACAGACTGCACACTCAGAACACAGAGACCTCGCTGATACCATGTGTGCAAGGAGATGGCAGTGGGGAAAAGGGCCATGAAAAATGCCATGTCACATCTTTGTCTTACCTCACAGAGAACAATCCCAAATGAAAAGATGTCCACCATCTCATCGTAGCTCTGTCCTGCAGGAAACATAAGACAGTCAGCTCTGTAAGAGACAGTTGCCCATCCAGCTATTCCAGGAGCTGCCAGTGCAAAGTTTATCTAAGCCTATTCCCTGGAGGGCCCTAAAATAGGTGACAAAGCAAAGGCTTAACTCTGAGCAGGGTGAGTCACCCCAAGATATGTACATACCAACTGCACCTTCCCATACACTGCCATCGCAGATTTTAACCCTGCTTCTTTCTTATCCTGGGGAATTACAGGACAACAGGGGGAAGTGTGTTGTACAGACCTGTGTATCAGCTCTGAGCAAATGCTAAGGATAACTGTGGGAAGCTTTTGTCCATTCCCCTTGACTGCTGTTCTAATGCATCTCCACAGTGCACAGTCAGTGCTCAGCTTCCGCAGCAGGCAGCGAGTGCCTCTGCAGTGACTGCAGGGATAATAAATTACACACCGGCAGCACTTTGATCCCGGGAAAGCAGGCAGGCTCCAGCCTGCCATGCTCTGCTTACAGACACACCCCGCCCAAGCCAGTATCTGGTAAACAGAGGTGATGTCAGACTATGCTCTTGCTGTTCTCCTGACAAATGCCAGGACTGAGACAGGCTCTGAGAAACAGCCCCAGACTCCCGGGCTCTCCAAGGCTCTCAGGCCTTGAGAGAAGGTGAACAGAACAGCGCAGAACAAAGCAACAGGGAAAAGAACTGAGCTGAGGGAGAAGAGCCCAGTCGTCCCTTCCCTGCTGGACTATGCTGGACAGTGCTGATACCCCAGCCAGCCAAACTGCCCAGCCTGATCAGACAGACCTGCTCGTCAGGAGGAAATTGTGTCCATTGCATTCCCTCACCTCCACTCCTGCAGGAGCAGCTTTTCCTAAGGGTCACTGCTCAACTTTAATGCAGCTGAGGGCTGTGTGCTAAACCCCTGATTTCCCTGCACTTGGACAACTCCCACCTCAATCCTGAGGCTTCTGCAAACCTGACAGCAGATGGTTTCTCCCTGGATCTACACAACAGCCTCATCCTGGAGTTTAACGATGCCCTGTTTCCAGGGCAGTTCCAAAACATGAGGCTGTAACAGCAACTGATCTCAGGTTCAGTCTTATCTCAGGCCTCTTTTGTTTTCTCTGTTATCTGGATTATAGGAAGCTTACATCCGTTGCCCTCCTGAAGAATCCTGTTGTCAAGCCAGAAACATTACCTGGGCTGGCACAAAGGTTTACCAGGTCAGGTACTGCAGCTACAGCACCTGTGTGTATAAATAAGCTTCCACATTAGCAGGCCTAAAATCACAGGCTCTAATAGGTTTGATTGTTACTGGGGCCGGAAGCTTTCAGTAATCCTGTCATCCCTGTACCCTGTCACAGCTGTCTCCTCACCTGCTCCTGCTCTGGGATCTTACCATTGAGCATCTCTGGGGCCATCCAGTACGGGTTCCCCACCACCGTGTAGCGCTTCTTCCTGTCGCTCTTGCGCAGGGTTCGCTTCTTGGCCGAGGGTTTCTCCAGAGTGGGCTTTTTCCTTTCCTCCACAATCAGCCGAGACAGACCGAAGTCGGCCACCACCACCGTCTTATCCTGCACAAGGGATTGAGTACAGCCCACTGATTACACTCAGCTCCTATCGGGAGCAAAGAGGCTGCAATTCCTGTTCGCTTCCAACTACACTGTAAGGGCAGCTATTCCAGCTCTCCTGCAGCCAGATGAACATACAAGATGTGTAGACAGGTGTAAGATACCCAATTCACGATCCCAACCCATCATTTCCCCCCTTCATTGCTTTATTTCCCCTGTAGTCATTAACACTTATCCCTTCAATTTGGCTACACTTGCCAGGGCAAACCTGGACCTTTCCTTTCAGAGCTTCCTCTTCTACCTGGCCAAGAATTAACTTTGGCTTTCACCTTCGGTTGTTTTTTTCACCCACATGCTAATCTCCTATCCCAGCCAAGTGAACAAGGGCAAGGTTTGAGGGAATGAAGCCACATAAAACTCCTGTGACCCAGCATTTCAAAAAGAGAGAGCACACACATGTGCACACCCCCCCACTTGTCTGAATCCTGAGTGCCAATAAAAAAGTCATCAAGTGGTTAAAAGAACAGAAGCAGCTGTAGAGAACATCTCATAGTGGAGATAAGGAACAGAGCTGTACTATCTCTGATGACTGTTACAGGAGCTGCTACCAGGGGAAAGGGGGTAAGAGAACAGAACACAGAAACAGTGAAATCCAGATCAGTCTGGAGAACCCTGTGTCAAGATGAAGCTCCCTTGTTTAGGGCACTAGAAGCCTCTCTGAAACCAGTTCCACCCTGACAAAAGAGGAAGCATCAAGCAGAGAAAACTAAGGGAGGAAGATGCCAAGGAGAGGAGCAGCAAGCTGTGGGAACAGAGGTGTAGCTCACCAACTTGATCAGGCAATTGTGTGAATTCAGGTCTCTGTGAATGATGCACATGGAGTGCAAGTAAGCCTGGAACAGAGGGAGAAAAGCTGGTGTTAGGGGTTCCCAGGTTGGCACGTCCCCTCACCTTTACAGACTCAAGAACCTGATGCTAGTGGTCAGGCAAGGTCCACAGCCCCTCATACACCACCCTGCTGAAGCTGCTCACCCTGACCCCGGAGGTTTGCTCTGTGACAAAGGAACAGCCCAACTCACCATTCCAGAGGCAATCCCTTTGGCAAAGCTGACCTTCTGCTGCCAGGGAAATGGGTCCTGAAAGATAAGTCCTCAGTGGTCAGTACTATCTTACCAGCCAGCTGGTGACAGCAATGCCTCCACACCAGGGGCTCTTACAGCAGTCACAGACACCATACAGCCCCGGAAAGAACAGCTTTCCTGCCTCAGGCCCACCCACAGCTAAGAAGCAGTTTTACCACAAGCAGATCAGCCCAGTATAACCAACCCCCCAGTCAGGCTCACGGAGTACAGCTCTCCCAGGAATCCCAACTCACTGCACTGCGGAGGAAGTCCTTCAGTGTGCCCCCCTCGATGTACTCGGTGAGCAGGTTCAGCTTCTTGTCCTTGTACAGCACCCCAATGAACTTGAGCACGTTGGGATGGTCCAGGCTGCGCATCACTTTCACCTGGAGGCAGAGACATCCCACCCCAAAGAGTGAATGGAACAAGTCCCAACAGGTTGTTCTGTGGTGACAAGCTCTCCAGTGCTGAAGGTCCCCTCCAGAGATCACAGAGAACACTCAAACCCCAACCTCAAGGCAGTCAGTTAAGTGTTGCCTCTTCATTTTCACACTGTGCATTTAACCTGATCTTAATCATTAAGGAGACCACCCTTGAGTTGGGCTAACTTTTCAGAGCCAGGAGCTCTCCAGGGCAGCTCTCAGCTCTGTACTGCAGGTGTCAGGGCAGTGTCAGGTGCTTAGGGAGCTGCCTTTAAGATAAATCTGACTTTGAAAAACATCATAGGCACCACCAAGAAGATAGTTTAGCTTAAATACAGTGAGAGTCTTAAATATCTTATAGATATTGGCCCTGATGCTTTTATTTATGCACAAGGCTCAAGGGATAAATCCTTTATGTACTGCACAGCTCAATTTGCCTCAGACTTCAGCTGCTTTTTATCACTGAAAAATTAATGAACTGGGAGCTGAAGCCACGTCTATTGCTCAGTGTGAGTCACTTCACTGCAGCAAACATTCAGCTCATGGCAGCTTTTCCCCCTGCAGTGTCTCCCACCTCAGCACCTTGATTCTCTCTCTCAGAAGAAGATGGAAGAGAGTTCCACCACACTACAGGCTCAGAAGCCTTTTTGAAGTCTTGCTCCTACCTCTGTCAAGAAAGTCTTCTGCGTTTCCTCATCACAGCGAATCAGCTCCTTCATCACCATCACCTTTCCCGTTGCTTTGTGAGTCACCTGGTGGAAAGAAAACCCACAACTACAGGCAAGGTTCAAGCATACACAATTCCAATGCTCCTGCAACTCTTCTGAAAGAGAAGGTAACATTCCCCTCCATCCAGAGAGGAGGAACACAGGTGGGAGAAAATTCAGAGGCCAGGGATCTGCTCAAACCTGCATGAAATTTCTCCTTTTGGAATTCAGCAGATTCTGTTTGTGAAAGAGAAACTACCTAAAGCTGGCAGAGGATCATGCCAAGAACCAGAGCTGAAGCCTCTTCTGGGTAGCACAGTGCTGAGCATGCACACAGGCTGCCAAAGCCTCTGGAGGCACCAGTTCCACACTGGTGCAATCCTCAAGTTCCCTTTGGGAAGCATTTGCCCACCGTGGTGCTCACGTCTTGTACACAGACCCCAACAACTCCATTCTGTATCAGCACAGGAATCAACGTTCGCTTGCATCAGATACCAAACCAAAGAACCCAAAACTACCTTACACATGCTTTGGTTTTATGGGGAATCTCAAACTCATCCAAGTGCAAGCAGAACTGGGATGCACAGGCTGTTCAGGCAGGAAGCAGTTATTTTACCTTGCTCCTCGGGAGCAGTGTCCTGCTGCCTACAAGGAATGTCCCCAGATGGTGGCAAACACAAGAAGATCCACCATACTAATAAGGTAAAAAGTTTCCTGGTTCTTGACATGGAAAGCATTTCCAGTTCCTCGAGAACCGTTTGCCTGTCTCCAGTTAGTTCCTGGCATGTTGCTGTGTTCTAGAGGGTTTTTAACCAGCTCAGCCTTGCTTGCATGAGGTGCCTGAGTGAGTAGAAAGGGTCCAAATTCCAATGAGCACATTCTCCTGGACATCCTCTCCCCTTCAGTTGCTTAACTTGGACAGCTCTGTCTCCCTAAGATCTCCAGGGAACTAAACAACCACCTTGTTTCTGGAACAGGAGGGACCTATTTGACCAGCTACAGTACTTGCTGCATCAAACCCAGCCAATCTGAAGCTTAAGAAAAGTGTCACTTTTTTTTGCCTCCTACCCTTTAAAATAAAAAGCCTTTCAGAAAACCTCCAGAACTGCAATCCAGAACACAAGACCCTGTTGCAGCATTTAGGAAGCTTATGAGCTCTTGCAAACACTAATTCTGTTTGGAACCATGGAATATAACAAGGCTGGTATAGGTGGAATGTGAGTGTGGAATAACATAGAATAACACAACAGAAGCAAGAGTACAATATTCTTCTGCTCCCATCTGAAATCAAGCATCCATACACAGGCAGCGAGCCAGGGAACACCACACATTTCAGCCAGGGACACAAAAGCCAGAGACATCTAAAACCCAAAGAAAAAGGGCAGTGAAGAGACAAAGACAAGGCTAAGTGGAATTCTTAAGCTGACATACCAGCAAAACTGAAACAAGTGTCATCACGAACCTCCAGGGGGGCAGTTTTAACTCCCAGAGCATGCACCTGAACAGGATGGCCATGGGGCAATTTGAGCAGAAAAGAAATGCCTTTGTGCCAGTAACTGTGGGGACACAGGTGACAAAAACATGCGACAGAGCAAAGGTTCCACTTACCCGCACCTGTTATTTCTCTATGAGCAGAGGAGAAGAGAAATATGCTCATTAGTATGGATCAAAAGCAGTGGGATTGTAGAACTGGCACATCACCTCCCGTGGAAGCATGAGATGCACATGGTGGCTGGACACCTCAAGGTTATACCCTTGTGCATGTAAGGAGAGAAGTCCCATATCATGGTGTGTGCAGTCTCAGTCCTGAGGAGCTCACAGCACCTTAACAAGGCAGAGGAAGCTGCCCCCTGGTGCCAGGCATGTTGGGACAGGAATTGCTGGAGCACCCCCTGTCAAGACCCCAGAGCTTAAATGCAAGAGAACTGCTATTGATGGAGAATTTAGCTGTGAGAGTCATGCAAGACCTGACCACTACTCTCACACTGACAAGATATGTAGGCTCTGCTGTGAGTTCAGAGATGGTCATGACATCAGCCTGGCAAAGCCCAAGCCTGCCACACTGAGGGTGGGTAAGAAATGCTCAGGGGAGCTGAATGCACCTCTGCATAAGGAAGATGCTTGTAAGAAGAGGTGTAGCCTGTCACCCATTCTGTCCCCCTCACCCAGGCAGCTGCTGTGACACAGGCACTCTGGAGAACTAAATCTAACTCAGGAGATGAGCATATGTGGCCAAGGTTGACACTCAGAGGAGACAGTCAAAACCATCTGCAGCCAGAGACACTCAGGGAATGAAACAGAAATGGGTCTCAGAGCAAACTAGGGAAGATCCAAGACCAATCACTCTCAGCAAGGCAAACACACTGAGACAGTGGTGAAGGATCCTGAGACAGGCAGGCATTGGCGTAATCAAAGTAAATGATGAATGTCTGGGGACCTCCTCACCTTGATAGCCTGTCCAAAAAATCCTTTTCCTAGAACTTCGCCATGAATCAGGTCACAGGGCCGGAAGATTTGCTGGGAGCAGCTGGAAGAGGAGCGCAGGGATTCAGAACGACTGATGTCACGGCTCAGCAGGAGCGGCTCCTTTGGAGAGCTGGGGCCAGGAGACTTGGAGATGCTGTTACTTCGCCTAGAAAACAAAGAAGACAGAAGGATCAGGGAAGCTGCTGGGGAATGTCTGGTCCAACACATCCCATCATTCGCTCCTAAGGGACCAGTTTCTACGTGTTCTTCAGTGCTCTTAATATCCCCAAAGCCAGGTGCTCTCCCAGCACTGTGGAAGGTCTTTATGAACCCAGAGCAGACTCCGAGTCAGAGCTGCCTGACAACAACACACCTCCTGCACTGGCAGTCAGAGATGGAGCTCTGGGAAAAGAGGAAGGAAGCTGTGAAGATACAGCACTTGCTATCTCTAAACAAAGATTAAAACACTTGTAAATGACTAAATGAGCATCTGAGTGCCCTACTCAAGGAAGACAAGGTCTCAGTCAGATTCCCCTTAAGGACATATCCTTCCCCAGCCATTTAAGGCTGGTAAAAATCTGAACTTGACGTTTTCTAACTGTGAAACTTAGTAGCTTTTCTCTGTTAACAGTAGAGCTCCTTACTTCTATGAAGGAAAGTTTGTCATCCTGAAAGGGAATGGAGAGAGTACACATCAACAGCAGAATCCAAAGCTCCCCATGGCTTCTCCAATGATTTATCCCACTGTCCAACAGAGATAAGCCATGTCCCCACAGTCATGGCAGTCCCAGGGCCTGGGCACAGAGGTGCCCAGCCAGGGAGCACAGGGCAAATCCAAGCCAGGCCAGAGGCAGTGCTTCCAAGTCTTCACCTGAGGGAGCGCCGTCGGAGCGTTCCTTCCAGGTTCTCCTTGATGTCCAGTGGAGAGAGGGAGCGTGGGGAGATGGGTGGCTTTATGTGGGTGGGCAGGCGGGAGTCCAGGCGAAGCCTGTCCAGGCGCTGCGAGACGGGGTCGTGCTCGATCAGCAGCTGAAGGGTCTGGCTGGTCTTGCGAATCAGTTCCTCCACCTGAAGTCAAACCAAAGGACAGCACTGCAGCAGACAGGAGGAACACAAACAACAGGAGACAGAGGAGACACAGAGAGTGCCCCTCAGGAATCAGGAGCGAGTTCAGTGAGGTCACTCCATAGTTGTGGTTTAGTTGTGTGCACCACAGCTGTCTGCCAGACAAATCAGACCAGCAGCACAGAAGCTCCTTATGCTGCCCAATTCTTTCTGGTCAGCTACAAGTAACCTACACAGAAAAGATGTGGACAGGCTGGAAAGGGTCCAAAGAAGGGCCACAAAGATAATCAAAGGGCTGTGACGCTGCCACGTGAGAAAAGGCTGAGAGAATGGGGTTTGTTCAGCCTTGAGAAAAGAAGGCTGAGGGGAGACCTTATCGCCATGTTCCAGTATTTAAAGAGTGGCTACAAAGAAGATGGAGACTCCCTTTTTACAAGGAGTTACGTGGAAAATACAAGGGGTAACTGGTACAAGTTAATCCTGGGGAGATTCCAATTAGACACAAAAGGACAGTTTTTCCCAAAGAGAACAATCAGCCCTTGGAATAATCTCCCCAGGGAAGTGGTGAATTCCACAACATTGGACACTTTTATGTTTCAGCTGGACAGGGTGCTGAGCCATCCTCTCTAGACTGTCCTTTTGCCAAGAAAGATTGGACCAGATGATCCTCGAGGTCTCTTCCAACCTGGTATTCTATGACTCTATCAAATGATTTTCTTTTTCTGATAAGTGTTCAAAAACCACACAGGTTTCCACCTCGAACAGTGCTGTAAAAAACAGCTTTGAAAAAGCTACACAGAGATTTATCTGTGAGATGTTTTGTGCTCCTTGTGTTCTCTTCAGCACCAACAAAAACTTCCCCCTATGATCTGCTGGGCCCTTGTCAATTAGCAGTTGCCTCTCAAAGGCTCAGAAGAGTGCACTTCACTAGCAGTACATGGGAAAGTCTTGACAGCCTCTCTGTCCTCTCTCACAGCCCTGGACTTTTCTTACTGCCTCCCTTTACATTTGAATCCCACAAAATCATTCCTGCATCCTAATTGCGTTTCCATCTGTTACATTTTCCTCTCCAGCTGGAAGGCAAAGCTTATCCTCATGTTTATTCCTACTGTCAGCATGAGTGGTAGGGCTGTACACACTGTGTGTAGGGCGGGAGAACAGTGTCAGGAAACAGAGAAGGTGTAGGAAGGCAGAGGAGAAGGAGGCTTCAGGACAGAACTCCACCCACCTCCTCCACCTGTAAGGTGCGAATGGGAGCTCCGTTGATCTCCAGGATACGATCAGCAGGGTGGATGGCATTTCGGACATCTGGGCTGATGTGCATCCTGTTAACTCTAAACAGGGGAATTACAGTGTGTGTGAGAACTCAGGTTAGCCAAAATTATAAAAAAAAAGCTTCCCTTCATATTGGCGTTTTGCAATAAAACAATGCTAATCTACCAGCACAGGGAGCTCCCACGAGACCGAGTGCTTAGGTCTGAACTGGTTTGGAGAGAGCTCTCCATGACCAATGGCAAAATTGTTAGTCCATTACAATCCTCCAAATGTCTTGTATCCAGTGAAGGAGACAGCACTGAGAGATAAAATTATCAGTTAAGGTGGATGAAAGAGACTGAAATGGAGACTGAACACAGGTGACAGACGTCCCTGCGACGCCGAGATCCCCTCAGGACAGCAGTGCTGCAGGATCTGTACCAGCTCCCCCTGCACGTACATTGCACACAGCCTGGGCATACTCACTCTTTCACCTGGACACCAGTGGCATAGCTGGAGCAGCCCCCCTCTACAGACACGGAGAAGCCCCTCTTGCCATCCGTGGCCGCGGGCATGGAGATGAGGGTCAGCGTGTAGGGCAGCTGCTCCCGCAGGGACTCCGTGGAGTGCTTTTCTATCATGGGTGTCAGCACGATCTGGTTATGGCATTTTCCACTGAAAAAAGCAAAGAAAGTCATCATGGCAGTGTCCTGTCCCTCCCTGCCAAACTCACACCTAAGTCCTCTCACTGACCACAAGCCACAGCTTTTAGTGCTTACACCATTCCTTCTTCCCTCCCTCAAAAGGCAGCTTCCTGGCATTCCTTAGAGTAGCATTTGGCTGAACAGGGCTTACACACAGCGGGGAGCAGCTCCTCTTACCAGTAGAGAGTGGAATGTTGCACCAGTGCATAAGTGTCCCCATCCTCGATGATCACTTTGCAGCTCATACAAGCGAAGCACTCGGGGTGATACTTGTATTCGCCAGCCACCTACAGACAGAAGAGGGAGTAACTTAAGCACGGCCAAAATCCATCAGCAGATGCAGCTCCTGCTTTCCTCTCTAATTAACAAGATCATTCACAGCTCAAAGTCAAGTAGCAGGTTTTTACTGGAGAGTTTTATTAGTCCATTCTGTCTTTCCTGAACCTCATCTTTGGCACCTTGTTTGCAGAACTCCAAAACAAACATGTCAGCAAGCAGAGCAAAGCTTGTGTCCCAGGGACCTCTGCTATATTTGGCAGCTGCTCAGCTATCAAAAATAGTTGATAGTCTGCTGGAGACTAGTAAACAAGGTATTAAACCTTCCTGTTCAGTTGCTCTTGGCAAGATAACTAATGTTACGCCTGAATTAATAAAGCTGAAAGGGCTTTTTTTTTTGGCAGACAGGCAATGCACAAATTCAGATGCTTTACCAGCCAGCTGACAGAGAAAGAGCAAACTGAGACTGAGACAAAAAATACCTTTAAAGAATATTTTTACTCATTGATCTGTTTTTCTGTTTTCCTTATGAGAAGTTCCCTTATTGACAGTATTCTGCAAAGACTTCTGCAGGCAATGAGAAATTGTCTGCACATTCCTCAGTGCTTCCCTTTGAGGTAGCAATGGTATCACTAAGTACCACATTGCTTTTATTTAGGCCCTAGAAAAATAACGGTCATGTTTCATTCCTGACAGTTTTATAGGTTAAATATTTGCAAGGTTGTGGCAGGAGGGGAACATTTAGGTGAGCCCCCTATTGTGCAGGCAGAGTTCAATGCTTCAAAAGCAACTTCAAGCCCCAAAGTAATTGGGGCTAACACTATTTCAAGACACCATCAGCCTGAAAAACCACTCTGGCTGCAGCCCAGGTGGGACTTGGATTGCAACATTCCCCAAAACCAGAACCTGCTGCTTATCCTGAGCTGAGAGGTTTGATTCCACAGTGCAGTGGAAAATCACCCTGTGCAAACACTGAGGTATTCACTGTGCTACAGCAACTGAACACATGTCCCCCAAATCACTTTTCTGCTTCTCAGGCCTGTGCATTTCAGCACTTTACTTTCTTTGTTCATATGCTTCAGATCCTCACAGCTCCCCCATTCAAAATTAATCTTTATCTAGAAGATGCACACACAGGCTCCATTGCTATTCTTTGATTAGAGAAGCAAGGAGACTGTTACCTTCAGTTTATTTGGTTATCTTTATACCTAGGACAACACCTAACTAAGTTTGAGGAGTTCAGGCAGGAATCCTTCTGTCCTTACCATCACAGGTCCAGTCATCAGCAGAGAGCAGCCATGGCAAGATTCCCCAAACTTCCCCCAGTAGTCTTTGTGACAGTACAGCTTCCCATCCTTCTCGTAGTACCAGTTAGTGAGGGGATCCTGACATTCAGAGCACCTTGAAGAAAACAAAGGAACAAAGTTCCACTTGGCAATGAGTCACAAATCAACAAAAGAGGTCCTGTCCTGGTGGAGAACACAGACATTCAGCAGCAGCTCACCAGCAGCTCTTCTAGCTATGGATGCACTAAACTCTACTGTTTCTCAATGCTCTTTCAGCTGAAAATTACACCCAAACCTGAAGTTTGTAAGGAGAGGTGGAATCCACCAGTACAAAGGAAAAGAAGCTTCCAAAGTGTAAAACAAATCCCACACATTAAAACACACCAGTAAGTTTATAAATTCTGCTTTATATTTTGCTCCTCTGATCTCTCTTTCCCTGGATGCAAGTTTCCAGCCACAGCGTTGCCCAGCACAGAGACAGCTTTGCTGTGTTCCTACTTGGTGTTTCTGTAGCATCAACAATCTTGTGCCAGAGCACTTGTCTCCTCAGCCAGTTTAGGAAGGGGCACAGAGAGGCAGGATCCACTTCCCTACGCAACACAAAGCCAGTTTTGCACCAACCTTTGTCGAAAGCTTTTCCATTCTTCTGTAAGCAGACCTCTCCCAAAAGGTAAACTGCAGCACTCTGCATTTGAGGGAGAGTTTTCAAAGCACTTTGTCCCTTGAGCTCCACACACTCACTGCACCCACCAGTTAACTCTGAGAAAAGTCCTCCACCTCTCCCCACCAACTGCTCCCTTCTGATCATAGTGCATGAGAAAATAAACACCACAGGCAATCAATGGAAAAAAATCCTAAACAAAACTGTTTCTCTAATTTCACGGAGTCTCAAAATCCTTCACATATCAGTGTCAGCTCCTATTTCCAAGCAACCATTATTAATCCTCTATCTACTTTTCCTCAACAAACAAACAAACAACTCTCCCTCCCCCCACAAAAAAAAGCAAAAAAAAGAAAAAAAGAAACAAGGAAAAAGATGCAGCAATTCTACTGCAGATACCCTTTAGCAATCACAAGCAGAACTCAGATGTTCAGGCTTCCTGAACACACAGTAATCCTGCCTCTTCAGCAGCAGGGAGGTGTGACACAATGCAGAGATAAGGCACAGACAGCAGTTGCATCACCAAAGATTATTCATTAGCCCTGGGCAGCACGTTCTCAGACTTTAAAAGGAAAATAAGTCTGGTGTTGGCCATTCATGAGCCGGATCCCAGGCGGGTTAGTCACCAATAACCAGTTCAGAGAAACACCTCGAGGATCAATGTCGTCATTTCCCCAAAGGTGGAAGAGTTTCTTTTGCCTCTTACCCCAACACCTGTTGGGGTAAGTTACTACCCTGGGGTGGGGGTTTGGGTCGGTGGGGATCCTCCCTCAGCACCCAGTGCACTCGAGTCACTGGTGGCACTGGAGGTGCACTTTTTACATGCTCCCAGGCTAAGATGAGAGCTACTGTTGACTTCACCTCTCACAAGCTTCCCAAAAGCTTATTTGTGCCAAAGACATTCCTTGTAAACTCCACCAGTTGTAATGAGCGTGATGATATGTGAAGCTGGTTGTGCTCCAACACTGAGAGAGTTATTTGCTCCATCTCAAGAGACTGCAAAGCAACTGGGTAAGGCTGCTCATAAGCAGCCTTTGGTTTTAGGGGAAAACACCTCATGAAGTACTTAGTGCCGTACCCTACCCTCAGGAAGATTGCTCCTTCTAACATATTTGGCTTATACAGTGTTTGTTCTCCCAGCTGAGGAGCATCAAATCCTGACCCCCCTCCAAGTGATGGGAAAGAACTCCAGCACGTGCAACAGGCCCTGCCAATTTTGTCTGGAGCAGAGGGAGCAGTAAGTCAAGGCTGCTGTAGGTGGTACATCCATCACTGCAGCCCCAGCCTGGGGGCACTGCCGTGGTTACACCCTGCTCATGGTATGCAGGACACCCAGAGGGCATGGCAGTGCATTCTGCCTCCAACCACCGGCCTTTGGCTTCAGCTGCAGTAAATACCCTTCGCTGAATGAGCAAGGGGGTGAGTGGGAGGGAGAAAAGAGCAAGTGGAGACTAACAGCAAAGATTTCTATCGTCTTGTGGCAGGAACATCTGGCTCAGCACTGGCAAATCGGATCCCTCAGACTTATCCAACTTCTGCATGCATGCCTGTACCAGTGTGTGCTCCACGAGTGATTACATCTTCCAACAGGGAGCTGTGACCAGACCTGCACTTAGGATGCAGACAGCAATGCTGGAGACTGCTCCACCAGGACTTCAACACCTGGCTTTCTGTCTAAGTTCTCTCCAACCAGGTGGGTTAGTTATTTATTTGTTTTTAGGCACAACACTTTCCCTTCCTTGCCCCTCTTCAATTTCACCTTCAACCACCCCTTTTTCTCCCTAAGAAAATCTAAAATTTCTGCAAAAGCAACACAACTTCAACTCTGTTTAGGTGGGCTCCAGGGGATTATGTGCGTTTGTCTTTCCTTTACCTCTCTTCTACTTCTCCATGGTTTGATTCAACCTCACAGCACTTGGGTTTTTTTGCTTCCATCCGGAAATAAGCACTGGTATCTAATGTGAAACACACCCATAGCAAAACGAAGGTGAGGAGGTGGAGCCAACAAGCAGTCAGTTCTTTGCTATGTAATTAAACAAATCTGGGCAGGACAAGTTTGCAGCTTAAGGCTCAGAACCCCACCCTGGGCAATGAGGCAAGAGGAACAGAGTCCCAGAGAGGCTGGATGCTGGGAATGGGCCTAACTGGCTGCTTCCTTAATCTCTGCCAGCAACAGGACAAGGCTGCAGCCCCCAATGCCAAGCAGCACCTTTGTTACTTACCATGCATTCTGGAACCTAGGACAGGCTTTAGGTTTGACAGGTGTGGGACACTGGCTGACAGCACAGGTATGGTTTCAGTGCCTCGGCCCAAATGATAAAAGCATCACATGGTTGTTCCACACAGTTCTCACTGAAGAGATTGTTGAATGTTATCATGTCAGAATTTTATCACAGGAGATACAACTTCTTCCTTTCCCTCCTCACTAGAGCTGTGGCATTGCAGCAGGGGTCACATCAGCTGAGACAGGAACACAACTACTGCTGCAAGTATTTAGCAAGCTACCCTTTGCCAGTCACCATGACCAAAAGAAAGGAAGATTTCATGCTCCTCCATGCTAATCTTTTATAGATTAGAAACCACTAATCTTTTCCTCGATGATTTGCTATTCTCATTACAGAGTAACAAACCATGGCAATCAAGTTTCATGGAGGACTGGTACCAGCCATACCTGACGTGTTTCCTCTTGTTGCCCAGCCACCATTTTCAGAGCCACAGAACCCTGCTCTCATTATACAGACCAGACATTATGATTCTTCACTTCCCAGCCTTGGCTATACAAAATAAATTAATCTGCCTCCCACAGCCATCCCCCAGGAACCCCAGGGAGCATTTGGGTGCAGTGCTGAGTCGTGGTGATCTGCAGCACAGCAGGTGCAGAAAGAGTTCACAAATCGCTGCTGGACGGACTCTCGGTTTTGGGGGGGTGGCAGGAGGATCAGGTCACAACAGGTAACCAGCCTGGTTTCAACTGATGTGGCATCTCTTTTACAGCTAGATGAAAGCCAATACCCTCATGGAAGCAAAGACTTCCCTGGCACTGAAGAGACAGATCCCTTTGAGAAGGGCTCATTAACAAAATGCCCCCCTCACACTCACTGTCAGGCCGGATCAGTTAACGCTACACAGGCTCGGGAGAGCCCTGGTTCCAATCCTGCCAGCAGAGCTGGGGGAGCACAGTCACACAGACAGAAAGCTGCAGGATAAAGCACAGCCCCAGCCTGCAGCTGACCCAAAGGCTCACCCGGGCTCAGCAGGAGTGTGTACACTGCCCACGTAAGAGACACCAGACAGGGAAGAACGGATACTAGAAAACAGAATACTAGAAGACAGAGTGTTTAAGCTCTGACTATGCAAAACCATTTCCACACACTTAGGAGAAGGTGTATCTATGGCTTAGCACAATACCCTACACATATTACAAATAATGAATGTCTGCTCACTTTCCCTCTTCTGAAAGCAGATGCTGTTTCAGAAAGTTGCCTAAAGAAGCTCAGCAAACGCACACCAATATTTACTCCTGTCCTAGACCGCTTCAACAAAAGGCTCCTTACTCCCAAATCAGCACAAAAGTGTTTGCAGAACAGGATCAATAACAAGCAAATCCGAGCAGAGGGGATAGGAGGAACACAATGAAAGTGCAAGCTGTGCTTTTCCTCATCCATCCACCTCATCAGCACATCAGTCACCAGCCCGGCTGCGTTCAGCCCCACTAACTGTTCTCACCACGGAGATGCAACGCAATCAAAGCCTTATTCTGGAGCTATCACCTTTCTTGAGCCTCATTTGTTCAACTGGACCTAGAACAAATAAAAATTGAATAAACCAAAATATCCCAGAAGAACCCTTTCCACCTAAGGGAAGTATGCTGCTCATCCCTAGTTACCCGAGAAGTACCTGATTTCTTTTCTCAAACAGGATTATGTGCTGCCTCGCTGCAGGTTACATCACCTTCCTGCACTCCCACAGCAGCACCTCAGCTCACCCTGTGCTGTGCCCAGGCACAAGGAGCTTTGGAAGAGAAGCAGCAGCAGCCACAGTAATCTCATTCCTGTGCCAGTGAGCAAAGCACGGGGCACTGGGCACAGTGGCACATCTCGTGCTCCCTGGGGGGGAGCCTGCCTGGGCTGCACACACTCTGGAGCCGCTCCCTCCAGCCGAGAGCTGGGAAGGGGTTGGCAGCAAGAATCTCCCCTGTTGCCTCCTCAAAGCCACACAGGATCCCAGTTTGAGGCCGCTGCTCCCGGCACACAAGCACTGACCTCGTTCTTCACACACTGACGCTTTAGGATTCCATCACAGGAGGGAAAACAACACTCTGGAGGGTCCAGCGCTAATCCTGGGCAACACTTACCGAAAGGGATCCTTGGGAGCGAAGTAAGCTGGGGCAGACAAGTAACTTCCCATCTTCAACACTGGATAAACCGGCTCAGCCACAAACTCGTCCAACTGCC